AGTTAGGGTAAAATAAATAAACTCAAAATTACAAAAAAGAATTTTAAATAAAATACTTTATTAACTAAATTAAGTAATAAATTCATACATAGACAATAAAACTTTAAAAATTGAACAATGAAATAACCGAACGCTCAATAAAAGTCTTTCGAAGGTAGCTCGACAAAATTAAATAAAAAATTGATTCCGACGACGTAGCCTGTAAAGGCTACGAAACGTCAATAAATAAATAAAGTTTCGTACATTAACCCGTAAAAAACTAGTTTTATTTTCTTAATCCTTCGAAGTAGCTTTTTACTTGCCTCTTGTAAAATCTTGGCGCTCCCACGTATGTCCTTTTTTGGTGTGATTCTCACACAAGGTGGGATGAGATTGTGGTCTCGGCATCTCTTCAGGAAATTCAACGATGTTAGTTTCCTTGCGCGCTTTGTCTTTAGACCTTCCATTCGGCGGATCTTATTAGCGGTTTCCAGCCCGTACTGGTTAAGTTACGGACTCCTTTTATCTGGCAACGAAGAAGTAAACACAGAGCTTTTCAATATGAGAGGGAGCGGGAGGAGGATGCTCTAGCCGCTCCCCTCCGACGTAGACGGGTGGGCCGAAGAAGGCTGGCAGCTGTGACTGCCGGTCTTCGTCGGCCCTAAGGTGGTCTGGGCGCCCTGGCCGCGTGCCCTTGGTGCCATTCGGCATAGGCCATCCCGCCTGGGGATTGCCTAGTACCCTAGCGCAATCCCTCAGAGGCGTGTCGCCCGGTCCACTCGTTGGGCCGGGCAAGCCCGAGGGCGTCCCAGTGAAGTGGCGCACACTGAGGTGTGTCGATCCTGAGACGCCCCCATATGGGTGTAGGAGGGTACCGGTGGTTTTTAGTGGGTAGGACCGGCGTTGTTCCGCGCCGGGGAGACCCACACACTCCGCGCGCCCAGCCAGTACGGTGCGTAAATGCATTTTACATCGTCAACAAAAAAAAAAGAGCTTTTCAATATAGGTACAAGGTATCTTGGACTGCCGATGTCGACCATCTATTATGGGACTAGCTGTTCCCCGCGGTGTTACCCGTGGTTTATCAGGGATATTTTCCCGCAGTAACACGTAGCGTAGTTTGTGTTAATCCAGGGTGTCAGCTAACTCACTCCATACCTACCAAATTTTATTAAAATCGCTCCAGCCCTTTAGACGTGAAGAAGCAACAAACATACACACACACTCACAAACTTTCGCCTATATATTATTAGTGTGATTGTCAATTGGCGATAATTTTTTGTCAATTTATTTATAACTAGCTGACCCAGCGAACTTCGTACCGCCGTATAAAAAAATAGGGGTTGGTGGTAGAAAGGTGAAACTTTAGGGTTGTATGTATTTACTAATGCTGTACCATAAAAAAAATATATCTAAAATTGAAAAAAAAATAGGGGTGGATTACCCTTAACATTTATGGGGGATGAAAAATAGATGTTGTCCGATTCCCAGACCTACCCAATATGCACACAAAATTTCATGAGAATCGGAAAAGCCGTTTCGGAGGAGTTTTACCACAAACACCGCGACACGAGAATTTTATATAGATACTAGCGGACCCGACAAACGTTGTCCTGTCTACACGTCTTTGTGAATCTAAACCATTGTCAGATCCCCTTGAACACACACAAAAAATTTCATCAAAATCGGTCCAGTCGTTTAAGAGAAGTTCATTGACATACACACTCACAGAAGAATTATATATATAAAGATAGTTAGTTAGGTTATTGAAAGTTAGGTCTCGAGAAGCTATAAACTTGAGCAACGCATTAAAATCATTTAGAAGTATTATAAAAACGGCAGTTCTGCTGTCAAACGTTTCATCCGTTTCGAGAAACTTACAACAGAGATAAAAGATAACCAAATTTCATAGAACGTAGAATGAGGTTAGATGGGTGTTCATAGAACGTTTGTACGGGAACCGATGTCGCCGGCTCGTCCCCACTTACGCTTCCATCTAATAGATAATAGCCAATCAAACGACGCTACATAAAACAATCGAACCAATCAGCGCTCACAGCCGAGAACAACGACCCAATCAGAACCAAGTTTTAGTTAAGTTATGAGCATTTGCTCACACATAACTGTAGCGCACCTGCCACGCCCACAAGGCTCTTCTAACCTCTTTCTATGTTCTGCGGTTTAACCTATCTCTTGTAATTGTTAGTACTACGAATAGTTGCCGAGACTATTCTGTTCGCTATCGCTATAGTTAGACTCTTATCATCAAAAGTCAAAATATCTTTATTCAAAATGGATGCAAAATACAACTCTTTTGAATCGTCCATATTTTTTTCCCTACCACCAGTTAAGGGCATTTTTTTAGCTGTGGAGATAAACTAGCGAAAAAAACTTCACAGCGTTAAATATTATGTAACAGTATTTACAACAAAATTTTATACGGTGTCAATACAAAATCATTTCATCTTCATTATAATTATAGAAAAAGCCTGCCGGAACTTTTGGAACAGTTAAAACTTAAGCATTTTTGTCTGAAATATAATCAGACACTTTATAATAGGCTTTATTAATAAGAACTCTTTTAATGGTAGTTTTAAATTTATTGACGCTTAATTTTTAGATATTGCTAGGGACTTCATTGTAGAAGCGTACACAAAGAACTTGAAATGAATTATTGCTTTTGTGGAGCCTTGTAATTGGCATAACAGCTAATTTATTTTTATTTCTAGTATTAAGCGAGTGCTTATCACTATTTAGAGGAAATAATGTAATATTTTTTCTAACATACATTAAATTTTCATAAATGTTCTGAGAAGCTGAGAAGAACGTTACGATACCAGCATTTGGGACTTAATACAAAATATCAGATAATGAAAAAACATCAAAAACAAATATGCAACCACATCACCTTATCAAGATCACGTAGTATTAGCCTTCATCCTAATAAAATATGGTCCTCTGAATTTTATCTCGTGTCGTCCAGATTGATGTGAAGAAGCATTTTTACAGGCCGGCAAGGTGAGGATGGTTGGTGTGGTAGTTTATAACTGCTGTACCAGCTATCTCCGCATTTGGACTTTATCACCACTTAACATCAGATGGGGTAGAGTCATTTGCCTTCCTTGCTATATATAAAAAAAAAGAATTGCCAAAAAAACCGGGTTATTAATTCGCTGCAATATAACTTTACAAACTAAAACCTAAATAAGTACCCATTAAAGAATGTTTTTGCCCGTAAAAACAAGTTCCTACTTTTAATAAATTTCTATTTGTTTTAAAATTAACAGCAAGGAAAATACCCTTCAAATGAGCATGATTTTAGTGATAAAAAAAAACAATAAAAAAAAATATAAACAATATTAGGTATGTTTCAAAAAGATATTTTTTTTATATTAGATAATCCTTATTATCGAGGCAAGTTCTAACCGATATGTCTACGCAATACGCAATCTACTCAATATCTGCCCGGCATAATCCGTAAGCACAAAAAATTGTGTTAATACGTTGCGTCGTTACGATATCATTAAACCAGGAAGTTTAATTAGAATTTCACTAATTCTTTTATCATCTTAAGCTAAGTCCACACAAACAACTCCCTAGTATTTTTTTTGTGGAGTACTGCCTTTTGGGCAAAATATTTTTCGTCACACACTTCCCAAAAAAATTTATTGCCACATAGTTGCATTTCCCAAATGAACCTTTAGCAAATTTACATTTAGCATTTTATTCACTTGGCAAAATTATCCAAGTTAGGTTACCAACCAGCCAGAAAGCCGAACTGCATTGTGCTAAAAACGATACATTTGATAAAATAATAATAGTTTGCGTTGTGATATTTTGGGAAAAGATTTTTGCCAGTACATAACTGCATTATACTTAAAACGAACCATTTGATAAAATAATAGGTACCTACTAGGAATATAACATGACCAATGAAGTATTTGTTTAAGAATAAATTGCCAAAAAAGAGGTTTGCTAACCAAGAATTGTTTTTTTTTCTAAATAAAAATTTGTATAAAATACTTAGTTTACGTTGGGATATTTTGGGAAAAGATTTTTGCCAGTACGTAAGTTATCCCTTTTAAATGCATATAACCTACCTGTAATGAATATTTTTCATCTGCCAGGCATACCGCGAATACTCCCTTTTTTATTTTAATATCCATTACACAGAGGGCTTTACTATAAGTTAGGTATTATCTATATCAGTAACAAGTATCATCTTTTTAGGAATAAGGAAAAAAGTATTAATTACATTAGCGGTACATGACTGAGTGGACTCGCGATTCTGTCAGCTATTTTCCCAAAGTTATCAAGTTTCTTCTCAAAGCATGTCTCATAATACAAATATTTCGTGTTGTGAATGTTTAAGTAAATATAAAACCCCGAGAGAACCATTATACGCAATGATTATCTATAAATGTGAATTGTTTTTGGAAATTGTAAACAGCTTTGGATGAAATTTTACTCACAGATAGCTTATAACTGGATGACTTATTACCACGTAATTTTTTTTTCAACACCATTTCCCTGCCTACTCAGGCTACTGCCCTGAGGCTCCGTCACAAACATTACGTCTTGTTTCTTTTTCTTATTATATACCTATTTAATGTTCTAATGATTGACACGCATGAATAATTTATTAAAAAAAAGACAACTATACACAAACAGTAGTGAAGCTTTAGTTAACAAAAACACATCAAATTCGTCATTAGAGAACATCATCAACTGAAAATACAAAGATTTCGTTCCTACAAATATTTTTTTATGTGTCTGTATTATTATCTATGCGATTGAAATTATTTATTTTTGTACCTAATTAGTTAACAATACTTCTTACATTAAACTACTTAATATTAATAGAGCGTAGAAATTGCAATTTAAGAAGCTATTCTTATTTATTCATGTTTACTATTCAAAACACAATAACGACCTCTTTAAAAATTCCATCACCCTCGTGCACAAAAGCTTATTTAATTCTAATTTTAGCCCACCCTTATGGTACAAATGTGGGATACATACTAAACTGTATTCTACCAAAATAGATAGAAATAAAACTATTTGAAGTATAATCTATGCAATAATCTCTCTCGACATAGGAAAAAATTAATGGGTAAAAAAATAAAACACTCACATCATAACTCCACGTGCAGGATACGCCAGCAAACTTGGCGACGCATCTCCCCAACTCCACATCTTCATGGGTAGTATATAAGTGCTTCAAGCAGTACTTCACGTGGGGCGCAACCCTCCTTAAAGTTTCTCGTGAGAACAACACTCCAGGACCGCCCATACAAAAGTTCTCATTATAATCCAATGCCAACGCGTCCCTTTCTGCAGTAGTCCCGCGTCCAGCCTGCCCTATGAACTGAGGCTTCCGACTGTCCACCGAACGCAAAAACTCTCCCAACTTATCACCTCTAACATAAACGTCATCATCGGCACGCATGAACCACTCGAATTTATCTCCGTACTTCTCGTACATGTAAAGCAACATGAGGAAGGATTTCTTTTGCGGAGGATAACTGTCGTCGACGCCACGCAATGGAACCAGAGGCAAACCAGGCGCTCGTGACACTTCAGAGCTAAAGAAAGCGATCCGACCGGGCAAGTCTTGGCCCCAGGTCTCGTAGACGGCCTTAGCTCGCGTGTCCAGGTACTGTTCTGCAGTCATAACACCGACGAACACTAATGTCCTATTTGAATTTTCCACTGTTTCATCTGGCCGCAAGTCTATCAAGGCGAGAGGATCGGGTCCCGCGCGGGACCTCGCCGCCTCCGGACAAGATTGTATAGATGTCCTGGAGGAAGGTCTCAAGCACAACTTGAGAAAGATGCCAAAGGTAATCCCCGCGGCAACTCCAGCGACGAGATGCATCCACTTGTTCCTTCGAGGCATCGTGTCAGGACTGCGGAGTCAATAAAGCCAGCCACGATCACCCGGTCCACATGTGTGCATTCCAGGAATAGCCTTTTTATCCCTTTTTTGTAGCAGCCGGGAGGGATAGACATTAGCGGGCGACTTTTTTGTTCACTTTTCGCTCCCAGCATCGGCGGGGAACGATCACATGGCGGCCAGTGTGCGACTGTCGCGTAACACGAAATCGAAACCGATCGCGCTATCACCGGCCTAAATATCAGATTTGCACCGATATTATCGCAGCGAGCGTGGCGCGTCACGTATCGCGGTGCGGGTGCGAGCATGCATGTTCCGCGGTGGCAGCGACGATCCACTCGTGCGCCGGTCACCGAGCGACTGGTAAGGTTACCGCGAAACGACTCAAGCAGCGGTGCCGACTGTCCGTTCGCGCACCTCTCTATCTTGCCCACTAGTACCGCTATATCCGTCTCCATCGAAAGTGTAATGTGGGCCGGATTCGAATGAACTTGTCCCATTCATCGCGGCTCGTCTGGCGATGACAATAGACCTGAATAGACAATGCCGGCGGTCGAGCATTGTCTGGCCCGGCGGCTCGCGGAAACTGAATTTTATGACCCATTTCGTCGAGGCCGGGATCTACGCCACTCGCTTAGGAAGCAGAGTTCCTTTACCTGCTAGACTTTGTTCGTACGGCGAGGTTAACCGCGTTAGTGCTTAACTGAATTAGTCATACACCAGATACGCAAGGAAACATAGTGGCTAAGTTTTATATATATGTAGGTATCGTGACCGCAGAAGCATCTTTAGTTAACTAACAGCAAATGTTTTATCAGCAAGATAAAACTTGTAATCAGCTGGCACATTGCGCTGGCAGATTAAATCAAGTAAATATGAAACAAACAAAACAAATAACCATTCAAGACGTTTAGGGGAAAAATCAGAATGGTTTGCAAGGCATCACTCATCACATCACTCGATCATGAAAAAAATACAGTTTAGTTTCGTGAGCGTCCTCAATTTGTATGACCGAAGGACCAATTTCGTGAAGCAGTGAACAGTTAACCTAACCACGCGTCTACCGGCTATCAACTGCGTCATTTGCATGACATATGGCGCACACTACCTATCGCCACTGCAGACTGTTTTTACACGAACTTTTTTTATATCTATGTTTTTTTATGGCGCAGTATTCCCAAAAGAACTGCCGCCGAGCACATACAACACAATAGAGCAGTAGAGCATATTGCTCTAAGCATACAACAGCATGAATATGTAAGTAGAATAAGTCAACTCATATCCACTTTTGTAACTACATACATGTTTTCATTTTAAAGCAACAAAAGCACGCGTGGTAATGTAAAGGAATCTTTATAAAAGCTTTATAATTATAAGTAAATCTGCTTGTCAAAATGTATACTTAACCATTTTTGTTTCGTTTGAGCGAAGTTAAAATCAAAAAACCTAGAAAGGTTTTAAAAATAGTTGATTGGTATCGTATCAATACTATGCTGATAAACTCCACTGATGAAGATCAAATACTATAATTTCTACTCATTTTACATAGTACTTACTACTAACAACTGAAGTATGGAAATGATTGACATGTACACGGGTCTGCAAAAACTAAGTATCATACTTTTAAATTTTCAATAACTTGTTAAGTAAGTACACAAAATACACTTCCTAAATAAAAAGGACTCGAAAATACGAATGTATAGTTTACTATTTTTCCAAGGAAGCTGATAAAATTAGCTATAACACGTTTTTTGTTTTTAATCAGTAGCTTATATGCATAGCTTAGAGAAAAAAAATGTAATAGTTAGTTTTGCAGACCATTGTATTTTTTGAAGTTATACTTCTTTAGGCGCGTTATGAAAAAATGATGAGAGTGAAATTTTAAGATGCGCGCGAATCACTGTAACACAAAATTTTAACATAATGAAGTTGGTCGCTTTAGCTTTAGCGATCAACTTCATGCGTTACTTTTGTGTTTACCGCACATTAAAAAAATCTACCAACAAAATAGAAATAGAATCTCTATTTAGTGGGTGCTAACGACTGCATTGTGAAGGCCTATCAAAAGTATTTATTAATCTGGAACAACGGAACCAAAGCGCGATTCAGGAGACTACAGCGCCATCTCTTGACCATTGGTGTAGTAGAACCAAAAACCACATCTTTATTTTTTATAATAAAGTAACAAAAAGTATTTATTAATCTGGAACAACGGAACCAAAGCGCGATTCAGGAGACTACAGAGCCATCTCTTGACCATTGGTGTAGTAGAACCAAAAACCACATCTTTATTTTTTGTAATAAAGTAACAGTTATAGGTATTCATATTTATAATATTTATCCACATGTTTCTAGTTTGTGTATTCGGAATACGTGTTTGAGTTTCATACAAGTGCAAATCACATATGTTCTAATAAATTATATTCAGTAGCGATTTTCATTGAATATTTTATTTTTTCAAATTAAAACTGAACTTTATTGACTTCGTCCTTTTCCAGACTTTTTATTAATTTATTGTAATTAATTATTTGCATGCAATTAAAAACTAATTTTAAACGATGCCAAAGAAGGATAACTTCTCACGCGCCTACATAAGTACACGCACCCATTTTTTTTTATATTAAGCTAAAACATTCAAGCTAAGAAGACAGATTTTTATATAATAGGTCCAACAAGTGACTCCACTACTCCTGATGTTGAGTAACGATGGAGTCGATACAGATAGAGTCTGTGCGGAAAGAGAAAGGCATGGCGAAAAACGGAAGTAAAGTGTCAACCTCAAATCATTTTTAAATTCCTGTTTTGATCTAAAAAATATATCTATGTCTAAATTTTGAAGCGCATATACCTATGTGACACGCGCGTTAGGATAGAATGGTTCCCACTATTTTACCATAAATAATCCAACTGTTTATCTAGGTCCAATTATTAAGCAGTACCCTGTAATCTAATTATAATAATTTATATGTGATAATAGTATTATTTGAATACAGTGAGAAGAGGCGTTTCTGCAGGCCGGCAAGGTGAGGATGGCTGGTGCGGCAGTTCATAACAGCTGCACCAGTTATTTTCGCGTCTGGACTTTATCACCACTTAACACCAGGTTGGGTACCTAGGCATCATTTGCCTGCTTAGGGTGCGGCCAGAGTGCACTCAGATTCAGACTCAGATTCAGATTTCGAAAACAAGCGCGAGAAATAAACAGTGTAGTCTAAGCAGGTTGCTTGCTTTTTCTCGCGCTTTGTTTTCTGAGTCTGAATCTGAATCTGAATCAGGAGTGCAATCTGGCCGTACCCTTCGACTACACTGTTTATTTCTCGCGCTTGTTTTCAGAATCTGAATCTGACTCTGAATCTGAGTGCACTCTGGCCGCACCCTTAGCTTTAAAAAATAATAACAATCTAAAGAATATAAAAATGCTATTATGTTCTTTTTTAAGCTTTGTGTCACTCGAGACACGTTGAGTTAAAGATATTTTTTTAAACAATTCCCAATTTAAAAAAAATGGGGGAAAGTTAGCACCAGGAGAACAAAACAAACTCGCTGCTCTTTAGTATGCATTCTGCTCTTTAGAAAAATGTCTAATCGCAGACCAGAGTAATGAACCTCTTTTCGGTCCACGTTTTATGTGAAAACTGCCGTCAATGGAGCGGCACAAATCTGGTATTCAGACCCGTCTTTCCCAGTGGGCACTTGCCCAAAGTGATCCGTGGTCTCCCGTGTATCCGTCACCGATAGGTGGGCACCTCAGATCACAAATACAAAGTCCCTAGTTCTTGTTAGATCACCAAAGGGGGGTCATAGGGGCCCCATTATCCTAATATGCCCAGGGCCTCCAATAGGTCAAAGACGGCACTGCTGGTATTCCAGTGGAGTCACTAAATTCTTTAAAAAAAACTATCTAGAAATAGTATAGTTAGTTGAGTCCAAAGTATACAGAAGGGGAGGGCATGATGGCAGGTATCCAGCCAATCAACAAAATTACGAAGATAGTTAAATGCTGCGGCTACATTCACCTACAAAAACTGCTCAGAACAGAAGTTCAAAGTGTTGCTACATCTCGAAGTAGAGTCATAAGTTCCCTTAGTACGAGTTTGAGCTCACGAAAACTATCATAGTTTTCGTAATTGTAAATTATGTTTCTATGTCCATTTTGGTGAAATGTAACCAAATATTATTAAAATTTAAGAAGACGCAAATGATTTAATGATAGAATTCAAACACTGTTTATTTGTATTGAAATGAACAATAAAATTAGTGCCCTTAGTACGAGTGCGAGCTCACGAAAACTATCATAGTTTTCGTAATTGTAAACTCGTACTAAGGGTAATGAAGCCTTCAGAAAAAAAAACGACTTCTGCAAGTAATGGGAACTATAGTGATACTGATCACATAACAAACGTTTACATTAAACGTTTGTTCTTCACTAACCATTCGTTATCTGTGCAGTTCATGATGTTTGGTAGTACAAAGATGAGACAAAGGAATGCTCCTATCCTAGAACGCACGAACGCAGTATAGCAGAGCACCGAACGCTTTTCCTTCATCGAAGACGATTTTAAACCTAGCTCGGAGTGTCCCTGGAGCCATGCACCTTACCATAGGCGTAGCTAGAGAATTTTCCTAGGAGGGCAGGGTTTTTCTTCCTATAGAGGGTATTATTCCAGATAAACTTACATTCATTCTTTTAAAAGTTTTTAAATTGTACGAAATTTGAATTCTTGGCTGGGCATTGACCACGCATGGCGTGGAAAGCGGTTTTACGTAACTATAGTAGTGATGACTACTTACTGAAACGGCAACCGCCAGGAACCGCTTTAAATAGTATGAAATAACACACATCCCTGACATACTTACGTGAACCATGGAAACTGCTCCGCCTATGGAGTGGTAACTAGGTTAATTATTAAAATACAAAGGTGAGATAGTTCACTGAACCAGTTATCGAGACGAGACTACCGACAAGATAACTAAACACGCGGTAATATGCACAGTGACCTATATATACTTTGCTACCACAACACAAACCTTTTAAATGCTACTTTTACGATAAATTCTTATGTGTACCTGATATCATAAATATCTTTATATATATAATTCTTCTGTGAGTGTGTATGTCACTGAACTTCTCTTAAACGACTGGACCGATTTTGATGATTTTTTTTGTGTGTGTTCAAGGGGATCTGAGAATGGTTTAGATTCACAATTTTGTCCGCTGGACAACCCCTATTTTTTTAGGGCGGTACGAAGTTCGCTGGGTCAGCTAGTATATCTATATATATAGAACTCAAAGGTGACTGACTGACATAGTGATCTATCAACGCACAGCCCAAACCACTGGACGGATCGGGCTGAAATTTGGCATGCAGGTAGATGTTATGACGTAGGCATCCGTTAAGAAAGGATTTTGATCAATTCTACCCCCAAGGGGATAAAATAGGGAATGAAAGTTTGTATGAAACTTTTTCAATTTTAAAATGAACATAGATGAATGTCATTGTGTATAATACAAGTTTGAGAACAAAAACTGTAGTGTACACTTCAGCTCTACACCGAAGCGAAGCGAGGGCGGGCCGCTAGTATGTTATAAACTTATTTCAAGCCATTTAAAGTTCTAAAGTTTCATGGTCTCTAACATTATAATAATATATGTTATTTTCTAAAAAGCTAATGATCATGGCGCTTGCAACAGTGCCGAAATATCGGAAACTCACTAGAAACACGGTACATGGTAACAATTCCGTAAATAACTTATATTATTTCAATCCACTCACAGCATCGCGTGACCTCAAATGTAATGTTAACAATTCCTGTCGTTTATTCTGTTTGACTGAAAGATATGTTAAATTACCTACCTTGTCAGTAAGTGTAATGCATTATCTTCTTTGTTTTATGAGAGGATCTGGCGGCTTTCTCACTCCACATGCCAGCGCTGACCTAGCTTTGTGTAAACACTTTTTAACCGACTTCAAATAGGAGGAGGTTCTCAATTTCGTTGGCATTTTTTCGTATCAGATCAGGTGAACAAGCTAAGCCCGTATACGGAAAGAAGGTTGGAAGCCAGCCAGACAAACAGCGCTTATCAGCGCTTGTTGTCACCATCAGGGAAGTATGAAATAAATAATTTTAGCACTTAGTTAATAAAAGATAAAGTTATTAGATTTATAAAAAGACTAGCGGCCCGCCCTCGCTTCGCTTCGGTGTAGAGCTGAAGTGTAGACTACAGTTTTTATTCTCAGGCTTGTATTATACACAATGACATTCATCTAGTTCATATATGATTCTTCTTATACCTGCATGCAAAGTCTCAGCCCGATCGGTATAAAATTGACAAAGTTTCATACAAACTTTCATTCCCTATTTTATCCCCTTGAATTGATCAAAATCCTTTCTTAGCGGATGCCTACGTCATAACATCTACCTAAATGCCAAAGTTCAGCCCGATTCGTCGAGTGGTTTGGGCTGTGCGTTGATAGATCACTATGCCAGTCAGTCAACTTTGAGTTTTATATATATATATTATAACTAGGGCTGCCATCTCTAAAATATGGCAACCAGGACAAGACGCGTGATAACCCCGGATTTTGGAGCCCAAAACCCGGACAGACCAATAAAAAAGTAGTTAAAAATGTCACAAATGATAATAATAAATATTTCCAACACTCACACCAACTAGCCTAGCCCCAAAGTAAGCACTGTAAGGCTTGTGTTATGGGATGCTAGGGTAACGGATAGAATACGTATACTGTACATATATACGTATATTTATACGGGGTGGTCCAACTAGTGATTTCAACAATTTTTTTTAGATTCCTCGCACCTGGGGGTATCCGAAAATACCTCATGTATGTTCCGCGATTTTTCTTAGTTTTCGAGTTATAAATTTTTCTGTGTATTTTTAATGATTTCTACCAGCACAGCAGGGATCTTTAGTTTTTAATAGGATTTACTCAAACGTTCAACTTCAATACAAAAATGAGTTTCCATAGCTTCTGGCTAAAATTAAAAACTCCGCATGCTTCTAAACTACCAAAAATCATAAAAAACATGTACTTAATCAGCCTATTTTTGTTGTAATTGGCTTTTGAAGGCGGATAGGCTAAAAATCATTGAAACACGATTAAAGCATTAGACATTATTTTATCTACTTTTTTCATTGTTATGGTAAATTAAACCTAAAAATGTAATTTCAAATTAAATTTAATTGAAATTTCTGTAAAATAACTTCAGCATGTTGAATTTTATAATAATTTCGGTTTCACTACTAAGATTTAAAATGTGAGCAAGAATAAAGATCAAAATGGCTAGTTGGGAATTTTCCTGTTTTTTGATACAAATAAAAACCATAAATTACTGAAAAATTACTATTTATTGCAGTAAATTTTCAAAACTCCTACCTCCAACTTGAATACACAACTGACAATGTCTTAAAAAGTTATTTTTTAATTGTCTGAAGCTACTTGAATTGTCTTGCTTTATTTTTCTTTCCGCTTCTGTAAGTTTTTGTCTCAATTCTTGTTCGCATTTTAAGTCTTAGTGGTGAAACCGAAATTATTGTAAAATTACACAGGCTAAAGTTATTTTACAGGAATTTCAATTAGATTTAATTTGAAATTACATTTTTAAGTTAAATTTACCATATCAATGATGAAAAGTAGATAAAATATTTTTTAATGCTTTAATCATGTTTCAATGATTTTAAGCCTATCCGCCTTCAAAAGCCAATTACAACAAAAATAGGCATGCTGAGTTTTTAATTTTAGCGAGAACCTATGGAAACTCCTTTTTGTACTTCTAAATTGAAGTTGAATGTTTGAGTAAATCCTACTAAAAACTAAAGTCCCAACTTTCAAGTCATTTTTGAGTAACTTTAAGTAATTGCAGGAAGCTGAGTTATTTTTTTATTAAAACAACATTCAAGACAATTTTGTCACAAAAAAAAGACTGCAAAATACCTACTACGTAAAAAGATAAGAATTTTTGAAACCTCGCTGGCAGAAATCATTAAAAATACACAAAAAAATATAACTCGAAAACTAAGAAAAATCGCGGAACATACGTGAGGTATTTTCGGATACCCCCAGGTGCGAGGAATCTAAAAAAAAATGTTGAAATCACTAGTTGGACCACCCCGTATAAATATACGTATATCAGCGTCACCATAACGGACGTAACGAGAACAGAATCAGTACACATTTGACAATGACATTTCGTGCTCGCAAACGATACGAATTCGATATTGGTTCGTGCTAGGGGTACTGATCTTTGTAGGAAGTCAGCATTTACGGTTACAGTGTTAGAATAGATTTATTTATTTTCAAAGACATATTGACGGATTAATTGGCGATCAAAAACATAATTTTTTTAAACCCGGACTACAAATGAAACCCCGCCCGGACGCTCCCCGGACACCCTGTAAACTAGGACAAATCCGGGGAAACCCGGACGGATGGCAGCCCTAATTATAACTTAGATTGATTAAATCTAAGGATTATAATAAAAAAAAACTAATTGTACCTGTTGTCGTGGTTGTTCATTAATTTTTAAATGGTGGTGCCAGCGCTGACAAGAGCGTGTCGAAGATGGTCGGAACTTGTCGGTGACGTTCGGCGCTGGTCCATAGAAATGCCTGCGCCGGTTGTCTGCGCGGACCGGTTCCTATGTAGCTTTCTTTTTTGTATACGGCCTTAGTCACTTTTAAGAGAGGTAGGTCATAGCGGATTTCCTGCTGTTATATAGCCAGGTAGGCAAATGACTCTACCCCACCTGATGTTAAGTGGTGATAAAGTCCAAACGCGAAGATAGCTGGTGCAGCAGAGTATTTTCGAAAGAAAATATCTGAACACGAAGTTACGTATTTGCACTGATTACCTCAGCTCTTCATACAAAATTGAACTTTATACAAAGCACAGTTGAAGGGCAATATTCTTCGTAGGGTTGCCAACCCTACTATATATATTAAAGTGTCCTACTATGGGGATCAAATACTATATTTCTAAAATATATATATATATTAGTAAGCGAAACTAATATATTTTGCTTAAAGGAGACTTACCAGTAAAAGCTTTCTTAAAAATAAAAACTTAACTAATAAGGCATATAGCAGGATATATATATATATATATACATTTCAAATAATTAAGTATATATTTAAACCACATTCTGGTGCCAATTCCGGCGTGATTCTCTAAACTTAAAACTAAATTTAACATCAGTCTCTCCTTTTCATTCTGTATAGAAAATGACAAGGATATACTGCTGCCAAATTTAAGTTTTTTCGTCATTGTTTTTTTTTAAATTCAACACCACTATACTTTTTAATATTTTTTGCCAACTACTATATTTTAAAAGGCTATCTACTATACTTGCTACTATGCTATGCTACTACTATAACAACTTCGAAAATACTAGCTCTTATCTATTAGACAAGTCCGTCCGTCCGTCTGTGGTGCTGTTTCAGCGGCCAAACCTTAAGAGATAGATAAAGAGAATATTTAAGTTATAAGTTAAGAATAGTCTGATAAGACTACAAACCGGATTTGAGTAACGTAGCACTTCAGGTTTTCGAGAAATCACGAATTTCAAACGAAACCACACAAAATCTCCGAAGTTCTCAATTAATTAAATACATTTTTTTTTAAATCAGGTTTTGGTGAACATTTGGTTCACTGGTTTGCTAGTATACTATATTTGATAGAAAAAAAGTTGGTTACCCTAATCCTGAGTGTAATTTTATAAGATCGCTTTTATTCCAGTGCCGTCCTGATTCCTCGGTATTAGTGTTATTACCTGCTTACTAAAGTGACATGTTTACTGATTCCCACTACCCACGCAATGAATGCTCAATTTAACACTCAAATGAACCGATTGTGAAATTTTTGACGGGAAATACAAATGATCAACGTTATTATTAGCACTATAGATTTACATGATCGAATAGAATTTATGTAAATTATCATAGGTATGGAAATTATTTGTTTGTTTGCATAATCTTCGCAATAACAGCCAGCCGCTTGACACACAGACTAGTTAGAGATACTACGTATACTTGACATTCGAATTCCGCCGTAATCACGGCTATCGCGTACGAATCCGCCGCTAGAGGCGCTAGTGTAGCGTGAGGTCCCCGAAAAGTCAAATGTTATTGCTTGTGGGTTGACTACGCGGGTTTATTTAATCTAATTAAAATAATTTTGTGAATATTTGGTAATAACTCGGCTTACTTATAGCAAATATGAGTTCCGTGGCAATGAATATCAGTTATTTAAAAGCAGAGCTAAAAAAAATATTATATCCTCCTTATTTTTTTGAACAAAACAGAACTGCGCATTGCATGGCCGATCATGTTTAGGATACGGTTTTTTCAAATTAAAATATGATTTAAATGTAAACTTTGATTTCACGCGCGTATTAATAAACTTTAAAAGTTACAATTATTATTCAGGTGTGAGCTCCTGAATAATAATTGTAAATTTGAATAAATCAATAGTGGCGCCATCTGGTAAGACAGAAAACGGTAGCCCTCATTGTAACCGCTAGTTGGCGCTGTCATCGCTCACCCAGCGAATACTATATTATGTGACCGTGTGTCTCTCATGCTGGACTGAAAGAAAAAAGACAAATATGTGCCATCTGCTCAGGGCCGTCTTGAACCTATTGAAGGCCCTGGGCATATTAGGATAATGGGGCCCCTATGACTATGATGCGGATTATGCCTTGAAATGGAGCGAGTCACAGTGTGACTATGCCCTTACCTACCTTATATATAATTTTCCAGTGCAAATGAAAAGTCTATCAATGGACAGGGTATATAAGATAGGTAAGGGCAAAGTCTGGGCAGGGCCGGATTTAGAGGTCCAGAGGCCACAGGGCAACAGAGGAGCGGAGGCCCCCTCACCCCAAATTATTTTCCAAGTAAAGTAAACAATTTTTTTTCAGCTGAGTTTTTCAATAAATAATTTATTGTGAACCAAGTAGATTCCCTTAGTATTGAACAAACACATATAAAATAAACTGTAGGCTGTAGGTAAAGGTAAAAGAGCAAAAAAAAATATCAAAGGAAAAGATGTTTACTAGTTGGAATTTAAAAGATTTTTTTCCCGAAGCCTCTATTGTGGGGGGCCCCCGTTTGTGGAGGCCCCGGGGCTTTCGCCTCGGTTGCCCTCCCCTAAATCCGGCAGTGAGTCTGGGGAAGTAACCTCCACTTTACAGCAGACCATAATAACATACCTTTTGGTGGTGTTGTGTTTCTGTCGGTGACGTTCGAGGGCTCCACGGGGTAGGGGATTGGGTTAGGGTAAGCAACGGTGTTTGATGTTTTATGTTTCGCAAGCGTCTATAGGTCATGGTGGCCGCTTACTGTAAAGCTGAACGCACGCGCCGCAGTCTTCGCATTCCAATTCTTTATATGAAGTTCTATGCAACCTCGCACACCCACCCGCGTCGCAGTCGCCGCAGTCCCTGAAACGACCGAACTCCCCAAGCCGCAGCTGATGACGTCACCAGCGCCGGCCCGCACGCAGCGGACGCTGCGGCTAGCGCGGCGCGGATGACGTCATTCGCATCAACTGAATGAATGCAATCAAGTGCGATGCGTGCGGCGACGAGAACGACTGCAGTGACTGCGGTGCGGATTAGTGTTGGGTAGGACACGACTTGAAAAAGAGTTTGTAAGAGTAGCCTCTTTTTTGTACTGAGCCAGTACAATGTCCCACTTCAAATGAGGCGAGGCGTACTGAAGCTCGGCAATACATTTGAAGTGACGAGTAAAATTTGACATTGAGGCGTACAGAAGCTCGACATTACGTTTGTGTGCACGAATAGCACCTGGAGCGTAAGTTCTGAACGCAACCCTGGGGGCCAATCGCCTAACGGAAATGCTTTGGGAAACGCTAACGCTTACGATTTTATATTGTTATTTCTAGCCGCCTGAGGTTTTCGAATACCTCACGCTCATTTTTTTTAATATTGTTATTACCAATGCAAAAGAAAAAGAAAGAGCGCGAGGCATTTGAATACCTCAGGCGGCTAGAAATAACAAAATAAAATCGTAAGCGTTAGCGTTTTCCAAAGCATTTCCGCTAGGCGATTGGCCCCCTGGGCTGCGTTCAATGCCTACGCTCTGAGTGCAACTTTTACCCTGACGTTTAAATTTTGACATAAAATGTATGAAGCTAATGTCAACTTAAATATTTGTTGCACCTAGAGCGTAGGTTTTGAACGCAACCCAGTGCGAGTGACAAGGATTAGGAGGGAGAGATAGAGATACAGATGGATAGTGCGTAGAGGACTTAAATGAAATGTCATGCCTCGCTTTCTCTCAGACTTACGAAGAGTGAGTGAGTAACGAGACGCGACTATCGCGACATTTAATGTGAAGTAGTACATTTTAAAATTTTGAGCCGCTCTTACATTTTGACGTCATGTCCGGGACAAATGTACCGCCTCTTGTAAGTCCTACTCAACACTAGTGCGGATAGATGTGCGAGGCCATTAACACAAAGCGATGACTGCGGGGACTGCGGAGACTGCGGTGCGGCCAAGTCTGCGTTTACCTTAAGGCTGGCCAACGGACACTGTAGTAAACGATAGGCTGGTGAAACACACCATGATACCATAACAGCTAATTCATCATCATCATCAGCCTATTAATATCCCCACTGCTGGGGCACAAGCCTTCTAAATAGATGGAAAAGGGAGATTGGGTCATGCATGACCCATCACGCTGGTCCAGTGCGGATTGGCGGGTGCTAACGACTGCAAATGCAGAACATAGAAGAAGTATTTTGGTCATCCATCCAATGACCGACCCGACGAAAGTTGCTTAACTTCAAGATTCGCAGCCGAATGCCACAAATTCCTGCGTCTCACCAACTAATTACATAAAAACAATACTTGAAATTAGGATTGAAAAAATGACAGACGAGTGATTAATAAATTATAGAGTTATATATTTACAATAATTGTTTATAAAAAACATATATCTGTTACACAAAGGTGTGTGCAATTATTTTTATATAACATTTTTCGTTCGTACACAGCAAGCAGTGACGTGGCTATAGTACAGGGCAATCTACAGCACTGAGTTTCAAATATTTCTCAATGCATTTACATAGGTAATAGGTATTTGACAGTATTAAAAATAAAGTCCCAATTGTTAACATCTGTGTTTAGAATGAATATTGGCAGGGGATTTTACTATTTTTACAAAAAAAATATTCATAATGTTACTAAAAACCCACGAAAACATAATTTTCTTATCTATTGTCACGTGACCCAAAACGCTTCGGATTGGCGGAGCCTAAAATGACGTCACACGCAAGAAAACTTACGGTTGAAGTGACATTACATTGTATCGTTTGACGTTTTCATTTGTTTTAACAGTCGTGTGACGTCACACACTAATAAGACGCCATATTGTTCAGAGAAACGTTTTCGCGGCAACTTGAAAATGGAGTTTTCGGTTTGGTTATTTTTACTGAAATACACGACAGAATGATGAATATCCTTTTTACGGACTCCATAAACATTAGTCAATAACGTGAGATCGTTTTCTAAAACTTGTCGAATACCCTATTATTGTCAAACTCAATAAGATCCATGTCAGCTTGCAGATTGCACGACCTATTTTAAGGACGTGATATAATGACTATAATAAAAAAAAACAATGTTTATTGGTACGCAACAGTTCAACTTGAATGAAAATATAAATGCATGTATTTTTGTAAGCACAGCAAATATAATCTAAAACAATAAATCACTTTAGTCTCTTGATGTTTCTTTCACATTACGATTATTTGAAATAAAAAATATTTAATTTAGTACAGCAAACTAAAATATTGTACTCCTGTCTCCTAATAAAATAAGGTTACCTCCAAGGACGTATAAATACGTCCTTGGTTACCTCATTGTATCTTTTATGATTGAAGAAACAAAACAATCATACTGTGCCAGTGAAAAGTTAAAAATCTCGTTTAAAAAAGTTTAAGTATATCGTAAATTAAAAATGCAAACATTTTTATTGGGAGTGACAACTAAGATTTTACCTAAGTGAAATGATTTTTTTTCCGATAAATTCCCACTGGTCACCAGAGGGGACAAAGCTGGGGTCAAAAGCGGGAATGACCTTAGGAAAATCCTTAGCCTAGCTTTCACTTGATTTTATCTCATTAACAATTTAAGAATTTCCATAGGTCCAAACTCGAAATATACTATTTATATTAAATACGCTTTATAATCAGTGCAAGATTTGCTATGTAGCATAAAAATAAATTCAGTATTTATGAAACTACAAAAAAAAATAACAAAAATAATATATTAACGCAAACAAATATAAAAATATTTAGTATCGGCCTTTCCTTTCAAAGCCAACAAGCTACAGTGCACTAAACTTTTATTTCACATAGTAGATTTTATTTTTATACTGTTTAAATACGATATTAATGTCTTTTAACTTATGAACATACAAGGTATAGTAAAAATATGCAGTAGGAGTGCCCGCACACTTGTGATGATATTTTAACTGAACTAAACGTGAAAGGAATGCTTTTAATAGAAAATGAATAGTAATAACTTGAAATAATTTGTTTACTTTATTAATATGTATCGGGATAATAGCTATAATGTATATTGACAACACTGAAAATACCTTACATACAAAAATATTTTTTTTAATAGGCAACACTAAGCAAATAACCAGAATGTGAAAGAATCATCTTAAAAATGCCTTACATTAAAATCTTTTACTTTCATCACTTTCTCAATCGAACAGTTTTCAATTATTTACAATTAATACATTTAGGCCCAACTCATCAAAACAAAATAATTAACTAAATAATCCTTAGTAATTTACACAAGTTTGAGTTATAATTTTCCTTTAATAGGTGATCAACAGAATAAACTCTATTATATGGGGTATTAATAATATTTAATCTCATTCAAACAACAAAAAAGAATAAGGGTAATTATTAAACGTACATCTCAGAATGTACGTTTGAGATTAGACCTTATTGGATTTGTCGAAAGGCACCTTTTGCAAAGAATATCCCATAACTATACATGTCCATTAGGAGAAACAAATAGTGCAATCAGATTTAAAAAAATACTATTTATAACACAACCCAAAACAATATAGCAAACCATCCCATCCCATTTCATAATTTATTACAATTAAGATTCATCTATAAATATTACAAATTATGAAATTAGAGTATCCTTTAATATATATCTCACAGTACAGGTTTCAAGTATTGCTTTCCTAATTTTTTTTGGTATAAAGAAATAATCTTTAACATGTTATATGGATGTAAAATAAGCAACCCTTGCTGTGAACCTGGATATCGCCAAGGCATTGGACAGGGTCTGGTATAGACCACTTTTATCGAAGTAACCATCTTACAAGCTACCCGAGGGGCTTTGCGAGTGGTAACCCAGCTTCATGGACTCGTCTGGACCAGTTATCGATGGCTGCTCCTCTGAACCCATGACTATAAACGTGGGAATTTCACAGGGTTCTGTATTCTCCCCGGCGCTGTTCACCCTGCATATTAATGGCATGCTGTTCGTTCCCGGCATGTATTGCTATGTAGGTCACAGCACGTGTGATGCGCGGTGTACTGGCCATCCCTACAGCTGTAGTTGCGGAATGGCGGACTAAGCTTGTGTCCAAGGTGGAAGATTCTCTTTTAGCAAATTTCCGAATGGGGAAGACAAAACCGCATCTCGTTCAACCTTAGCAAGATTAATTTTCTGTAACAACACAATTCTAAAGAGTCTTGCCGCATAATTATGTAACGTTGGGATTCTAGATGTTGACATCTCGTGCGTCCAAAATAGAACCAATTTAGACGACAAGGCCAAGATGGGCTCTAAAAAGTTTGGAGTTCTTAATTGGTCCTAGCAGTAGTACTTCACGTCTAGGCAAAGGCTTCTTCTTTACAAAACACAAATTCAGACCTACATGGAGTACTGCTCTCTGGGCTAGAGCTAAATACCAGTTCGATTCCGTCGATTCTATAATAAGACGCCCGATTCGGTTTGTCGATGATCCCAAACTAGCGGAAAACTGCCTTTAGAACTGCGCAAGGACTTTGTTCGCCTATGCGTATTCTATAGGCTCTTTCATGGTGAGTGCTCTGAGGAATTGTTGACCACTTGTTCGGGTAGCCGGGTTGCTCATCTGGCTTCGAAGGCAATACAAAAGCTAGAATCTACTATTCAATCAAATATGAAAAACCTCTATTATATTTCTATCACCCAATCACTCACTAATATTATTTTATATCATATATTTATAAATATTAATTTATATATACATATGTATAAATATCTATTTATTATTCAGATGTTTCGTGTGACAGCCAGATATACACAATTAATGTCAAGCATCAATGGCAAGGTCCTATCAAACTTTTCAACGCATCTATTGCGCCAATTTACACATATTCGATATAATAATTCATTATCTATATCTAAAGAAACTATATGGAAAAGAAATTCTAATCCAAATGAAAAAATAACATCTCCTGCACAATAACAGATGTCAGTTCATTTCATGCATCAAGCAACTAACTCTCTGCACAGTATTTTATTGTATCTCTAATGCACAGGCTTTTCGTATACAAAAATTATTAGGTACAGAAACCTGTTTTTACATATTTAAGACAAGTAATTGCAAGATTGTTTTTCCTCAATTAACCTATTAATTGTTTTAGTGAACTTAGAATTGTTGAGACATACTCAAATCAGCTTTTAACACTCTCAATTTGATTATTATAATTGGTTTAGCATTCATAGTTGGTACTACAGAACAGGAAATCCACAAATAATGGTTTCACAGGTACATTATGCCGGCACTTCACATTGCTATTCTTGATTGCATTTGCTACTTGACAACAGTATTGTCATTCATTCCCAATATGATTTAGTTAGTTTTTCAGGGCGGTGTTTGTTTAGGGGACAATGACCAGTTAGGGTTCCTATAATTATTTTTCGTTTGCCGGCATCCTTCACATGTTTTCCACTCAGTCAAGTGTAGTTTCTGAGTTCTTTCACGCAGCCATGTTTTAATTTGGCCTGAGGTATGGGCAGAGAGGACAACCTGCTGTCAAAATGACAAATAGCAAACACGTTTAGCCATGTCAAGTGCCTGCAAAAGAAATCTGACCACTTGACAACATATTGGTCATCAACATCTTTAGATTTAAACATATTGGTAGTTTTTAATAGAAGATGCAATGTCTTTTTGTATATATCAGTACCAGTCATTTGCCTACCTGGCTATAAAAAATAAATAAAAAATGTAAGTTCAGTGCTGAATATATGAACTAAATCATTTATATGGTATCAAATACTGGTCTGTATTGTATCAACATTCAGTTTAAATTTTAGCATACTTATTGCACTACTGGCAGTCCTTACCTCCTCATTAACGTCAAATTTCTATTTGCACATTTCTTTTACATATTGTAAGACATTGAATTCCTTACATATCCACTTCAAGATTTAAATCAACATAATGAATGTAAGCATGGAAAATGCCAACTTCAATTTGAGTAGTAAATCTAAAATTATCAAGTAATCTTACATAAATTATAATAAAATATCTTCTTACAATCTTCTGGATTATGAGACCAATTCATCTAAAGCCTTGTCTCTATTGAACTCATGCTTAGCAAGTGCAGTTAAAACTCTTCCTTCGGTGAAGCCGAGATCCATAAGCTCTCCTAATATCAGAAGTCCCTCAATAACCTGAAACATTATAATGACACTTTAAGCAAAATAATATAGACTTCGTAAGTAATATTCTCTAAAAACTTCAATATTCACATAATAATCAAATGAAATGGAACAGTAATTAATATTAAGATAATACAAACAGACTCTTATGCCATATATCCTTTGCATAATTGGCAGACCAGTTAATGTACAGCTTGAAATACCACTCCCATAGTCACATCTCGGCCACTCTACCATTAGTTTTGGTTAAAACTAAGGTATTGTCATAATAATAGTAAAAGTAAAAAAACATTTATTTGTTATTTTATATCCCAAAAATCCTTACCTTTTTATCATTATCACCTAATAGACCACATACTCTGGCAACTCTGTCCAATGGAAAACCCATACCATGAATTTTCTGGCACATATTCTGGAGAGATGGGGGCATTTTCTCATAAGGGTTGGGCAAGTGCTCTGATTTCCTTCTGTGTTTCTTTTCTTCTTTCTTGCTGCTACTTAAAGAAGACCGAGGAACATTTTTAGGAGCTGGACTTGCATTATATGACCTTTCATTCATCCTAAGTTTGGCAGAAGCTAACTCTTCATTCAATTCTCTTACAATATCAGGAACACTACGAGACCTTGACTTCATTGTACTCTGAGAATTGGAAGGTAGATTCTGATTCTCTATATTTTGTAAATTTTGATTCTGAATTGTGTTATAAGCTGTGTTATCGGCAGCAAATGGGACTTGAGGAACATGGAAGTAATATGGCTGGGGGATATACGTCGAGCCATTTTCTATTGGTCCTGTAGAAGTAGTTGGTAACTGATTGTTGTAGTATGTGGGATCAACAACGGGATAAGGATTGGTAGGAACATAGTATTGGTAGTTTGGCATATACATGTTCATATTATCTACGGGCAAAGTATTATCACATGTGTTTTCAGGTGACACATAATATCCATTAGAGACTGGATAATGTTGTGGTAAATACATAACACTAGGTTCCTGCATGGATTGCTCGACAAAAGTATTAGGCACATATGTCATCCCCTCAACTTGAGGTTGAGATGTACAGTTGGGTATGTAGGTTTGATCTGGCATAAATGCTTGTGGATGACAGCTGGTAGTTGAATCTCTTTGACTCTGCAAAACCTGTGCCAGCAGCTCCATATCATTTATTGTCTTAAGTTCCACATTATCAAAAGGGCTAGAGGTATCATTTTCAAAATCTTTATAAGTCAATGTATCTATATTACTATACTGCGGTACTTTACTGTACTGAGGCATTTTAGCAATTTTATTACTTAATTTTAACTCCTGCAGTGGATCTGGATCATCTAGAAGATTGTTGTGGGGATAATTTGCATGAACTTGGATAGGTTGAAGTATATCTGGATGGGATTCCTGTGTCTTACATGAAGCATATAATGTTTCACTCTGAATAACTTCACTAACTTCTGTATAATCATGACACGGTATTGGGACATCACATTGCTCAGGCTTTTCATCTGGGGACAATGCACTGAGCTCATCAGTGCTCGGATAAGACACCTCAGAGACACTCAACTGCTTCAATTTCTCCTCAGCTTCAGCAGCAGCAATGGCATCTAATTTTTTTTGTTTCGCTTCTTCTGATAATTGTAAACGGTGGCGTCTCTCATTTTTCTTCGTCTCTTTCGCACTCCTAAGCTCTTTGAGTTTCGTAAGTACATTTTTCTCAAACGTAGAACAATATTTAACATTTTCCACAGCATTCTCAGCCCGTATTGTACATTCTCTAACGCTATAAGGTAATTCAATAACCGGAGGCCTTTTGTATTTTTCTGATATTTTAACAGGGACACCGTCCATAAAATCTCCGAAATGTGACATATCAATAATTTATTTTCGTTTGAGATAATAAAAATAATCAAACAATGATACGACAAACTTTGTTTCTATTGACTTTCGCACTTTTAAGGTTACATAGTACTTCTTCAACGTCATCACAATACACACCAACTTCTACGCCTGTAGTTCAAAGCATTGTAATAACATAATACCTTTTAAAGAAAAAATTATCCCTCTAGAAGAAACTAAATATTTTATGAAACACTATTTTCTACGTGTGACTGACAAATTTGACAGCTTTATCAAATGTCAAAAACAGCCGTCAAAGATGGGTAGCGTTCACATTTAGTAGTCATGAATGGGATATTTCCTTTGAGTATCGATTATGCAAGAGTAGCCCTAAGCACTTCATTCCTTATTCAGAGCTTCATTCCATACAAAATAATATTTCTGTCAATTCTGGCGGGCGACGAGGTACACACTTATAGCACACTAACAAAAATATGCAATATTCAGTCAAGCACAATGGTGTTGTTGTATGAACGCAACTGCAAAAATCACGTCACATAAGCAAAAAAACGCACACACGCTAACATTTTTATGTAACTATGCAATTTTTCGAGCGTACACAAACACAAAAGTTAGGGATGGGACATTAAAAGAATTAACGACATTTGAAGTTACAAAAAAAAATATGAATGTACAAAATGTTTGTTTATAATGAAATCAAAAAAATTCTTTCTTCTCCCAACCTATCTATCAGAAAGATTATTTATGATTTGTATCATACACAAAATTCTTATACATAAAATTCTAATATTTTTTTTGCAAATTATATTGCGAAAAATCTTTCTAACATCGTTTACTTTTTGTTTTCGGATACCCTGCCTACATGTAATACCTTTGACCCCCCTTACTGATAGCCAACGCAGTATTTTGTCAAAAAACACAGCGTAATTGACCCAGGCTTATCTTTGAGCTTATGTATTCTTTGTTTATTATATGGGAGATAGCGAATTCAGAGACTTCGGTGAATTGAGGTTGTTTGTTTTCCTGATATTGTTTTCTTCGATGATTTAAGAAGTTAATAATTTTATCGTGTGATAAATTACAAAATACTTAGTGAATCAAGCTTTGGGCAAAGATCAATCTCATTCTTTTCACGAGTGCTATGATAGTGCATGCTTGATCCAAAATGATAAAAAAGAATCTAAATATTTCAGAAATACGTATTGAGCACGTACATATGGAGCTCGATAGCTCAGGTGGTTAGCGCGTTCGGCCTGCGATCGTGAAGATTAAGCAACTTTCGCAATAGTCGGTCATTGAATGGGTGATCAAAAGCTTATCATCTTGAACACCTCCGTTTTTCGAAAGCAGCGTTGCCATATTTTTTTTTAGTGAAAAAAGCGGGATTCTTTTCGTCGAAAGCGAGACATAGTAAAAAAACGTATATAATCAGAAGTTTTTGAATATTTATCTTTTTATTTGAGTTCAAATTACGTTTACGTGACAATAGATAGGTACCTAGTAAAAATATCCACAGAAAATGTATTTTAATAAAATACATTTTGATTATGATATATTTACTACTACATTTAAAAAACTGTGTTTTAAAAACTCTAAGAAGTAAACGTAATAAATAATAAGTTAAGATAAAAATTCTAAAATTCCTATCAATTCAGAATCTAAATAATATAGTTTTTTATCTCCTGGACTATAAAGAAATCCGAATTGTAGCACCCATGGCCGTCAATTTGGAGCTCCTTGGAAGCTGTCTAGCTAAAACAGATTAGTACTTTAACGTGATGGCGAGTCGCAAAATAGATCTTTAAAGTTGCAGTGACTTCGGTGCGTGAGTTTTGAGCGTAGGCGTGAGCGTGAGGTCGATTCGTTGGTGTGGCCCTTATAATGCGATTCAACTAAGAATAGGACTGACTGGGGGCCATATTGTGATGTCATAGCTGTCAATTCAAATTAAATAGGTAGAGTGAGCAAAAAAAAGTTTTTATTTAATACAACTTATTTACTAATATTAAGTAAGAAAAAGCATCAGATTTTTTTAATAACATTTATTACTAAGATTGAGAAAAAAAATCACCGATTTTTAATAATATTTATTTATTAAGACTGTGGGAAAAAATCTAAATCAGAATCTAGCTCTTCTTTTCCGCTCATCTCTGCATTATCGCCGGATTAGTTATGAATAATAATCATGCACTATTACTAGATCACATACGAACATGCATCCTTTATATAAACGAAAGTTTGAAATCGAGTCTCTGAACGCAACTTAAAGTGACATTTGGTTGAGGATTTAGGTGCCAATTGCAACCATTCATGGCCAAAGCTCAATAAGTGAAAAAAAAACAACCGATATTAATTATCAATATTTGTTATTGTTTGCTTACAAATGTTTGGTTTTTATTCTTGAATTAGCGGAGTGCTAAAAAAGGGTTCCAAGTTTTTTTTGCAAACCGTACTTTTTAAGCGGAATTTGACAGATAGAGGTCATTGGCTTTTCCTATTCTTATTTGAATCGCATTATAAGGGCGCCAACGTCTTTAAATAGAGGTTTTGCCTGCTTAAAAAAGGACTAATAAAGTCTCAAAATCTAAAACATTAATTAATAATAATCTCGGATCTCAAGATAAATGTAGTATCCGTTACCAGCTCCACAATTATGTGAACTTATTTACAGTGATTTATAATTTTCTGATATCAGTACCCCTAGCACGAACCATTATCGAAATTGGAATAGTTTGCAAACCGAAATGTCAATGTAAAATTTTGTATGGAAACTTGAACAGCAGCGGCACAAAGTACGTAACGAGAACTAAAAATCAGTACACATTTGACAATGACATTTCGGACCCGCAAACGATACGAATTCGATCTTGGTTCGTGCTAGGGGTACAGAAGTCTATGCAGTGTAAACGAAAGAATGTTTTAAACAGCCATTATTCTACAAGTTTAGTTTAAAACTAGTATAAGACTTGTTTCATAATGTTAACGAGGAGTAAGGAGGGCACTCCATGCTGAATAAATAAGAATCGCATTTGCTATTTGTAAACTAGGCAGCAGTCTCTCCTTTTCACTCGCTAAAGAGCACGATAACAACAACCCAAAAACAATGCCAAATTGCAAATAGCAAATACGAATAGAATGTGAAGTGCTGGATTGGATCAAATTATTACCAAGGAACGCAAATACCTTAACGTTCCTTGTTATGTAGTGCACACTGGCTTGAAATGGAACACAAAATTCAAATAGATAAAAAAACATCACGTGTGACAGCTTGTCTTTTTCCGTCAGATGTCGATAGTGTAGCTTCCAAAAGTCATGGCGGATTTTTTCATTAGAATTTATTAATTCGCTTTATTTGTGGGTAGATTTATTATAACCAGCGTCAATTTGATTTAAAGTTCGTTTTATACGTGCAGTGGAAGCTCATAGAAAAGCACGTAGTCACCGACTAATAAGCAATTGTGAAGACGTTCATATTTGATTTGAAGGATCGTGTCGAATTTCGGTGGTTTTAAGCTAAATAAATAGTCAACGACGCAACGTTCTAATAATATGACGCAGTAGACGCTCAGGAGCGTCGGTACTCCATATATTTTTCAAATTTAAATCAGGTCGGTATTGGATATTATTACATATAGTGATTGCACCGGCGAATGTGTCTGATGGATAACCTTCTCGGCTACAGATATCTAAGGCGATGAACGAGGGATCGCCGATGATATACCATGGAAATGGAGGGTTCGGAGGGCCAGGGCCTATGTACATGGTGGGAATGGAACGCCAGGCGCGGCACTACCCTCTAGATGTGGTGCAGGTACCTGGAGCGTCTCCCGCCAACGGCAATGGCACACCGCGAAGGTGGCAGCAGCGCCGCGACCGCTACAAAGACAATACCGCCTTTGGATATGACTCTGATGACTCCAGCTTATCTAGCAATGCATCTGGATCCAATAAATCCGGAGATAAAGGTGAGCATTTCAGTTTCTTATTAGAAGATTCAACCAATTGTGTGTTTTATGATCTAGATTTGACCTAATATAGGAATTATCCACATAAAAATGATTTGAAAATACCTCCCTAAGTTATTAGTAAATTTTATCAACAATTAATTATGTATTTTTATAAACATTGTTGATCAAAGATATTTTGTGGTTTTATAAAAAATAATAAATTGTTATTATTTTCAAGCAATTTACATATTCTACCTATTATTTGTATTATTGAAGGTAGATTAAAAACCGTTATTAAAGTAATATTTTGCCAAAGAATTAAGATGATAAGGTAAGAATCAGGTATATTTGATAAACATTTCCCTGTTTTTTTATAACTTGCTCTACAAGTGAATTATTTCAGGTTAAAGTAATTTTGAAATTCTTCATGAATTATTTTTAAATTTGGCTCATTGTTGAAAGTTATGAATGAAATGGTGCTGATTGAAATAAAATTATTTTATTAGTAAGATTAAATTATTTACTTATTAATGAAACTGCATCAGCTAAAATCCTCTAATTTTATATGTTGCACCTACTTTGACTTTGATATCCAATTTTTATCTAGTGTCCTTCCAAATTAAGTGAGTCATATTAATATTTAATTTTATTAAACTTTAATATTAATAATTCTATAAAACCATAAAGCATTTTTCAAATATATAATTATGAAATAGCTCTGATTAATGTAAATTTTATATATACAGTGAAAGAACATAATATTTTTTTAAAATGATTGATGGAGTACAGTATTGAATTAAAATAGTTCCAATTATCCCCTTTAACTGCTTCTTACTAATTTTCTCTTGACCCTTGCCTCCCCTAGTAGTCTTCCAGAGATCATTACACGGCTTATTGTTAATTTATTGTTAATTAGGTAGTTAAGTCATCATCATTGGCCTATTAAAGTCCCCACAGCCGAGCCACAGGCCTTCCCTATGAATGGAAGAGGGAGATTGGGCCGTTACCCACCATGCGGGCCCAGTGTTTGGCGGGTGCTAACGACTGCAAATGCGGCCGGGACCGCCGGCCTAACGTGCCTTCCGAAGATTTTTGATCACCCATCCAATGCCCGACCACTGCGAAAGTTGCTTAACTTCAACGATCGCAGCCGAACGCGCTAACCACCTGCGCCATCGAGCTCCTCACGTACAATAGTTAAGTACTTGTAAGTTTATTTCCACGGAGTCGTCATGTCATCAGACAAATCATGCTGATTACAAATTAATGGGCTTAATAAGATATTTAGCATTTCACTGTTGCATACAGTTAATAGAATCATTTCTATATAATAATTGCCTGTTGATTTGTTTAATATTGTGAAATTAACTTGGAATCCAAGAAGTGTTGCTCAACTTTATAATTGTTTTTTTTTTGTGTTACTTTAATACAGCTTTTGCATTTGGTCTGCCTTTGTGACTGCAACTTTTTTGTACATTTTCTCAATAAATTAATTGTTATTCAATACTTAATTATAAAATTTTCAATAACTTTGTATTACTGCAGTCTGAAAATGCCAAAGCTATGGTAAAGATGCAATAGTACAGAGCAGGGAGCTTGACTTCAACAACTATCACAATAAATAAAACAAGTTTCAATGGTATAGATGCACTGATTTATTTATTTATGACGTTTCACAACCTTTTCAGGCTGCGACTTTTCAGACTGTAAATAATTCTGATAACGCACCCTGAAAAGGATGCGAAACGTCATAAATAAATAAATCGGTGCATCTCTACCATTGAAATTTGTTTTATTTAATGAGCGGTGTGAGTGAAAACCTAAGAAACAAATATCACAATACCTTTTAATTTGTCGTTTTAAAGATATTTACTACAATACAATATTCTTGGTTGAAGGTTATGAATCTCTTTCCAATATTAATATAGAGGTAAATATTATAATAGGTGTTGGATTGAAACAATTAATGAAGATGTTATATAGATATCAGCTAACCAACCATTGATCTGCTGAGCTCCTGAGATTTCTATTATTTAGGCCCGTATTACAGAATGACAACTAAGTTTTGATCTTTACTTGAGTACAGTTAGAAAGGGATATCGCTATGTGCTATATATATAGCGACATCCCTTTCTAACTATGCTCAAGACTAGATCAATCACTGAGAATCTTTCTATAATACGGGCCTTAGTATCCTCTGGAAAATACAAGCTTCATTCTGTTTTTGTATGTCAATGAGATGAGCAGAATTTGTTGTTATTTTGGTGCTCCAAAATACTGTAATAACAGCATATCTTCTTTACTTACTGTTGCTTACTCTTGTAATCTATATATATAAAACTCAAAGGTGACTGACTGACATTGCGATCTATCAATGCACAGCCCAAACCACTGGACGGATCAGGCTGAAATTTGGCATGCAGGTAGATGTTATGACGTAGGCATCCGCTAAGAAAGGATTTTGATCAATTCTACCCCCAAGGGGATAAAATAGGGAATGAAAGTTTGTATGAAACTTTGTCAATTTTAAACCGATCGGGCTGAGACTTTGCATGCAGGTATAAGAAGAATCATAGATGAATGTCATTGTACAAACAAGCCTGAGAACAAAAACTGTAGTCTACACTTCAGCTCTACACCGAAGCGAAGCGAGGGCTGGCCACTAGTGATTTATATAACTCTTTTGGGATTGTTATGTTTAGTATCTCGTAACATAACAGAAACCGCAAAGCCTCAGATTTGAGATGATTTAACAACTACTACTCGTGGTCGCTAACAGGCGTGATAAGTGCCTTAGATAACAGTGTAAATAAGCAACCGATCTGACCTTGTGTTGAAGATAAGCAAACACATCTCCTAACACTCAAATACAGCCCATTATCGGAAGTATATTTTAATACCGTTTTTGTTATTAGTTTTGGCATTGATACTAAACAGCAAAGAGATGAATGATTAGGTTTAAAATTAAATATTCGGTACATGTTTTCAGTATGGGTAATTCAAATCTAGATAGCTCACATACAACGATTGAAAAAGTATCCCAAGGGCTGGATTGTACTGATCGAAATTCTATTATTATTCACAAAGGAATAATTTTAACAAAAGACGTGGCGAACCAGTAGCATAGTGGTTATCTCCTTCATTGGATACGAAAAACACGAGATTTAGATGTAGTTCAATAAACAAAACAGTTTGCAAGCTCTTTCGCTCTAGAAGACAAAACTTAAAGACACTTTCCATAGTTGCCACCTTGCTGTATCTTTGGCTCCGGCTCCTTCTTCACCCCTCATATATAAGGAAAACATATATAGAATTTCCGGCTAAGTGTATCGTTTATCGTAAAGCAAAACATCAAGTACATTAATGGTACTATACCGCCTTTCCACGTGTGACTTGTTTTTGCTCTGGCAAGCATTCACAAGCTTTGTCAAAAACTCTAGATTGCATACAAAAAGATCCTTCAAGCAACCACGACTTTTGTCTTAGCTATAAGGGCTGCGATAGTCTGCACGCATTCGGTAAGCTGGGTTCTGCACCAGCCCCGTCGTTGAGGGCTTCGCTTCGCGGCCTTTTTTTGAACATTGTCGTAAATATGTTCTCATCACCCGGGTCTATGCCGTTCTTTAGAACTGCGGAGCCGATAAGCATAGAGAATGGACTGACAACTCTCAGGCCATGGTACAGCCAATACTTATACGAACTATGAGTCGCAAGATCGATTCGTCTCTCTAATGGCCTGAGCAGACGAGGGACTGTCCGCCAAAATAGATCGTTTACTATTGCATCGAATAACGCACCCAAGGAATACAAAGTGCCGAAAGTCCCCCGTACAACGGAGGACACTGAGAGACCGGGCCGGACAAAATTAGGCGGGAGACCCCGAAAAACTAGAACTCATTTGACTGGCGCAGCATATAGCAAACTTTAGTCCTCGTTGCCCGCTCAATACGATTTAAAGAGATGGCCACAATATTCTCTTTTAAAACGTCTTGTCATTTTCTTTAAACTCATGTTCATTACAATACAACGTCGTCTGAGAATATTTATTTCAATAGCGCGCGCATCTCCAAATTTTCGGACAATAATAAATGTTCGCACATATTGTGCGTTGTATGCGTGGAAGGTCCTCGGCGGACATTTTTCTCACGATTCAGGGACTTTTGCCCTGCGCGAACAAAAGTGTATCTTATCTGCGCAGGCCATTACTATCAGTTTTCAGGGAACACTCAGTCTATTCTCTATGGTTATCACTGGAGCTTAGGCCCGTTGGTCGAGTTTATTTTTTTTAATAACTGAGTTTTTCGCTTGTATAAGATAGTTCGCAACAGAAGTAAAATGATAAACAAAAATAAACAAAGAAAACTGGGTTTGAGAGTTAACGGTGTGGGGCGAGTGAACTGCGTTTCGGCGGTCCGTGCTTTAGGACGGGCCACGCGCAGGTCAGTGGCCCTTCACCAAGGGCGGATCCAGGGGGGGGGGGTCATGGGGGTCATGCCCCGGAGGGGGATTTTATTTAAGTACTTACAATATTTAATATACCACTACTATATGACCCCGCCCTGGCGCCAAAGCTGGCTATATGACCCCCCCTGGCGCCAAAGCTGGATCCGCCCTTGCCCTTTACCAGTTCGGTCGTCCACCAGCTATAACGTGCGGGTGGTGGACCAGAGTGTTGGTTGAGGTTAGGCAAGCGTACAAATGCGGTGTTCCGTTCGTAGGGGAGGGTTCGTCTCGGGGCTCGAGCAGCGGCGCCTCCGCGGGCGGCAGCATAGGCGGTGGCGGTGCCGTTTTCAATGTTGGCGGCGGTTTGGGCGGCGGCGGCACGCGCGACTACCGCGAGTGGCGGTCGAGACGCGGCCGCGAGGCAACCGCGCGCCCCCGCCGCATCGCGCCCGAACGATACCTCAACGCCTCATACCCATTCCAGGTTAAGTTTACGCCGGATGATTTGCTCAATGGTGAGTACGTGGCGCACTGATTGTTTGCTTAGACTCTTAGGCTGCGTTTTCACCGGAGATGTGCGATGGAAATGTGTCGTGCGAGGATGTCTAGCTGTGCTGTGAAAATGTGTGGGGATTTCCACCAAAGCTGTGCGATGAAAATGTGCCGAGGATGTGTAGCGGAGTTGTGAAAATGCGCATTAGTGTGTGGTGCGAGGATGCGTTGCGAAGCTGTGAAATGTGTTAAATATAAAAGTATCTTCTTTATCCAATTATCCATATCTATTTTGTGCACTTCTACTTCCAACAAATTCCGTCTGTGGACTGGCTGGTACAGTATGCGCAAACCTCGCAACACATCCTTCTCAACACACATTCCTCGCAACACATCCCTCGTTCTCATCCCTCGCACACATCCCTCGCTTGTTTTGTATGCGCAAAAATCTAGCCCCGTTGAGCCATTTGCACCAGAGCTGTGCTGACCGAGGCGAGGTAAATGAAGCGATTCTATTGGTTCTTTACAAACACATCCCTCGCTATGCATCCTCGCACATCTTTGGTGGAAACGCAGCCTTACGCTCGTATTGTAGAAAGATTCTCAGTCAATCTAGTCTTGAGCATAGTTAGAAAGGGATGTCGCTATATATAGCACATAGCGACATCCCTTTCTAACTGTACTCAAGTATAGATCAACACTTAGTTGTCATTCTGTAATACGGGCCTTAGTCTTAGTAGTACGGCGGGCTGTTTCCGCAGCTCGATATCCAGTGCCTATTTTGCGTGGGGATTGGTTTGCTTAGGCTCTTTAACGACTACGTGATCTGGGACCTACCGCCGGTCGGGACTGCTATAGCTATAGCTGTGGCTTATGATATAATTTTGTTAATTCTGACCTCCGCAGGTTTTGAAATACCTCACGCTTATTTTCTTCAATATTGTTGTTATCAACACAAAAGAAAATGAAGAGCGCGATGCATTTCAAAACCTTCGGCGGTCAGAAATAACAAAATGAAATCGTAAGGGGGCGTCCATAAATTACATGAGGTGTTATTTTGGATTTTGTGTCCCTCCCTCCCCCCCTGGTGAGATGTCGTGAGATTTTATTCAACCCCCTCCCCCATCCCCCAATCTCACGTGAGATTTTTCAAAATGTGTGTTTCTTTCGTAAACGCGTTGGATTGTTATTGTAAGAAGAAAAAAAAATTGCTTCGCGCTTTTATTTACGATTTTATTTCATCAATATTGCTGAGAGTTATAATTATAAGTGTAATCAAACTTTAACAATAGAATGAATACTTAATCGTAACTACTGTGAAAAAAATTTGCGTGATATTTGCCGAGACCCCCCCTCTCCAACGTAAGATTAGATGAGATTTGACTCGACCTCCTCCTCCACTTAAACATCTCACGTAATTTATGGACGCCCCCTAAACGACAGCCATAGCAATCCGATTGGCCTACCAGTTTCTCTTAACCGGTGGTCCCTGGAAGCACCAACAGTGGTCTGCTAAGCTCATCAAAAAAATATAACGTAAGGACGAACGCTAAATTAAACGACTTTTTAACTGCTTTAAAATGTGTTCTTTTATACTTTTTTTTACATAACTCGACGTTTCGGGAGAAAACATAAAAAATAACTAGGAAGAATGCTGAATGATTTACAAATCTTGGGGGGAGGGGGGGACAATCCCGGATTTCCCGGCCTTCTGGCAACCCTACTCAGGAACCAACAATTTTTCCGGGGTAAAAAGTATCCTATGTCTCGAACCAGGTCATAAACTATTTGTTACCAAATTTCATCCATATCCGTTTAGTATTTTTTGTGTGAACGTGTAACAAACAATCTCACTGTCGCATTTATAATATTAGTTAGGATAAAAGTATTTTTTAGAAAGTTTCTGCCCTTCGTCGGGGATAAAATCGAGGGTTAATCATGTTTATTTTATAAAATGAAGAATAATGGGAAATAAAGGTACACGCTGGCTCCATCTTATATCATCATCATCATCAGCCTATTAATGTCCCCACTGCTGGGGCACAAGCCTTCCTTATGGATGGAATAGGGAGATTGGGCCATGACCCACCATGCGGGCCCAGTGCGGATTGGCGGGTGCTAACGACTGCAGATGCAGCCGGGACCAACGGCTTAACGTGCCTTCCGAAGCACGGAGGAACTCGAGATAGAAGATTTTGGGTCACCCATCCAATTATCAACGACTGCGAAAGTTGCTTAACTTCAACGATCGCAGCCGAACGCGCTAACCACCCGCGCCATCGAGCTCCTCCATCTTATATATCTACATGAAACTTGTACTAAAACCGTGCTCAGTTTCTCAAGCGTCGTAAATATTGCTTCTATGACTGAAGATTATGAGTTTGCGGCGTTAGCTTTCGAGACGTTAGGGTCTTGGTCGGCTGACATGAAGCGGTTTATGAAGGATATGATGTCGAATCGACTGATTCTCTCTTCGGGTGATCAGAGGGCTGGCAGCTATTTCGCGCAGAGAATCAGTTTAGCCATTCAGCGAGGTAATGCTACCAGTGTTCTGGGTACCATGCCCCAAATAGGAATTTTGGATGACATATTCTTCTTGTGAATATGTATATATAAATATTTTAGGGTTAATTTTAATGTCAAGTTTTTAGTTTGATAATGGTGTGACGTAATTATAGTTATTTACTCTTGTACTATACAGGATGTGACAAAAGTCCGAAATAAAACTTTAGGGTTTGGTTGTGTTCCTTGTATAGAATTACCTACGAAAGTTTGACGCCTTTCAGACCACTTTTGTTTTCTAATTTAATTAATAAAAATATCGTTTTACACCTGCCTATGATAACGCTATAAATGCGTACGATTACTACTACCTAAACAGACCCCCCTCTCTCCGCCCCTGCGCCCCGCTCAGATACCTACAAATTTTTATTTCGGAATACATACCTACAAATTTTATTTCGGAATTCTGTAACACCCTGTATATAATATTTCATTTCCATTCTGTTGTTTCAGGTTCCAAATGGGACACACTGTCACAAGAGATGTGGGACAAATTTGTAAAATCGCAACAGACCGAAGATACGTTTAGGAAGAAAATGAACTTGTGGCGGTACATCTACATCACTATTAAGGTAACTATTTCATTACCATTAAATAAGCTTGTGGGAAGTTATACCTATGCTTTGGCCCATAATTCGTATCGCATCTTGAATTGGGCGTGCACAGACCCTATTTGGGTTACAATTGACTACCTCTGTGGCCGAGTGGTTTGTTTCCCGGTGTGGGTTTCATGGTGTCGCCGACTCGAGAGGTCCCGAGTTCTCATATATCATCCCGGGTTAGCATTTGTACTCCAGTCATGGATGTTTAATATGTATTTCTATATAAAAATATACTTACATATATATATGTACAGTATATGTATTCTATCCGTTACCCTAGTATCACATAACACAAGCCTTACAGTGCTCACTTTGGGGCTAGGCTAATTGGTGTGTACTATAAAAAAAAAACTATCAAATTATTTACGTAGCTGTTACCTCTAAAAATAAAGTATGTGGTTAAGATATTCACTTTATTTTTGAAATTGATATATTTTTGCCACCATGATACTTCAGTTTTTATTATGAGAAAGCTTTTACTGGCAAAAGTTTGCTTCAAGCAAAACATAGTAGTTTCGCCTACTATTTTTTTAGAAATATAGTAATTGATCCCCTAATATAGTAGTATACTATATTTTATAGTAGAGCTAACGCGCTCCCAATTCATATTTAAAATGTTAATATATTTAGACTTAAACTTAAAAATAAGCTCAAAACAAATCACTAGAAAAATATTATTTACAAATTATGTACCTGTAACAATGTGCAGTTATAATACAAATAATTGAAAATAACGACTTAAATTTAAAATTATTTATGAAACTTTTATATGGTTACCCAAAGTCTGTAATTTGGTTAAACCACACTGAATGTGGTACACAAATGTGTATGAATCACTGTCTATAAACCTATTTAAAATGTAAATAAATTAGAAAAAATAAGACACAGTTGTGTCAACAGTTAATATAACGTCAGACTAAGAAAGGAATAACAATTCTAAAAGTATCTACCTTGCGACCGCACTCCGAAGACATTGATTTATTTGTAAGTTTGATTAAGTTAATTCTATCACTTTCTTAAGAATATTTCTATAATTATTTATTCATAAGAAACATGGTAATTTTACAGATGTTACAATAAAGATGTTTAAACAAGTTTTGATATTAATGAGAAACAAATAAGACAACACGTCGGTCGCTTCGACAAACATTCAATTTAATTGACTTCTCTGAGAACAGCCATTGTGTGAAATCTTCCGTTACCAATCTATACATTATAATTAAATGGTAGGAAAGTCAAAACTGTACATCGAATATATTTTTAAAAGAATACTTGGGGTGTGATCTACAATCAATACCGAAGCCAAAAATATAGTTTTTTAAACTTAAAAAGTACTGCATGGATTTACTTCAAATTTGGCACGAATATTATTAAGAAGTCGGGTCAACATATAGGCTACATATTATCACGCTATCACCTACGGGGAACGCGCAGTGAACCTTTATTTCTAACTAGCGGCCCGCAATCGCTTCGCTTCGGTGTAGAGCTGAAGTGTAGACTAAAGTTTTTGTTCTCAGGCTTGTATTACACAATGACATTGATCTATGATTCTTCTTATACCTGCATGCAAAGTCTCAGCCCGATCGGTTTAAAATTGACAAAATTTCATACAAACTTTCATTCCCTATTTTATCCCCTTGGGCGTAGAATTCATCAAAATCCTTTCTTAGCGGATGCCTTCGTCATAACATCTACCTGCATGCCAAATTTCTGCCCAATCCGTCCAGTGGTTTGAGCTGTGCGTTGATAGATCACTACGTCAGTCAGTCACCTTTGTGTTTTATATATATATAGATAACTCCACGCGTACGAAGTCGCGGGTGGCCGTTAGTAAATGATAAAATCGAAATCCAGGGATACATAAAAATAGTGTGCTGATCGAAAGCAATCTGAAACGTTTATTTTTGATTGTTTCGCCGCTCTGACGTCTATCAAAGACGTAATCTATAAATTCGCTTCAGATTCGAGACGCACGTGACGTCGAATGACGTAACGTGAACGTCACTCGTTACAGAGCATTCGATAAATGGTCTCTTACTCATTCACACGACACTTATTTACACCTGTAATCAATGTGACTAATCTCGTTGCGATTGTTAAAGTTAAGCAACTTTCGCAGTGGTCGGTCATTAGATGGGTGACCAAAAATCTTCTATCCCGAGTTACTCCGTGCTTCGGAAGGCACTTTAAGCCGTTGGTCACGGCTGCATCTGCAGTCGTTAGCACCCTCCAATTCACAGTGGGCCCGCGTGGTAGGCCAATCTCCCTATTCCATTCATAGGGAAGGCCTGTGCCCAGCAGTGGGGACATTAACAGGCTGATGATAATGAATGTATAAACCCATTTAGTACGAGCGATACTATAATAATAATAAATATTTCCAATACTCACACCAATAAGCCTAGCCCCAAAGCCCTGTAAGGGTTGTGTTATGGGATACTAGGGTAACGGATAGAATACATAAACTGTACATACATATATAAGTATATTTATATAGAAATACATATTTAACATTCATGACTGGAGTACAAATGCTCGTATTCATCACACAAACATCTGCCCCCACCGGGATTCGAACCCGGGACCTCTGGAGTCGGCGACACCATGAAACCCGGCGTACAAACCACTCGGCCACGGAGGTCGTCAAAAATAGTTAATAAATAGTTATAGTCAAATAAATAGTTGTATTATATTACATATAGAACAGAAAGAGACAAATATACCACTGTACCAACGCCAAAATAGTTATTTCTATAGATATTCAATATACGAATGGAGACATTGTAATGCTCCATACCTATATAAATAATTATAAAAAAGTGGCTTCAGACTTTCTCCTTTCAGAACCAATACAATATTAAAAAAAAAGAACAAGCGCAAGACACAATAGAACGTGACGTAAGCAGTATTCGAAAATTTAAAAAAATCGAAAATTGAATGCCGTACAATGAAAACCGAGGTTCCCTAAGCGATGCGTGTGGAACTGAATTTTCTTTCATTGAATTTACGTCCTTCAAATTTTTTTGTGTAGCTTTTGTAAAATTGTTTTTTCGTTATATAGTGAAAAGCTCTTCCACTGTTTCCCTTTGTTTATTTGTTGTTAATTTTTCTTTGTATTCTAGATATAAATGCTGATTCATTATATTCACATAGTATTTAATACACCCGTGTGAAACCGGGACGGGCCGCTAGTTGTTTTTATAAAAAGTTATAACTTCATGCAAATACTTTAAGAAAATTAGAGAACACTCCTTATACGATGTACTTCAACGTCCTTTAAGCTTTATTTGTATTTTTGTAACACACTGTATACATACATATTTTTTTTTAATATTCTGCCGTCTTCGCTACATAACTGTGCTCATTGAAAGTTATATGGTAGAAGTAATTTACTATCATCGTCATCAGCCTATCAGTCCCCACTGCTGCGGCACACGCACAGGCCTTCCCTATGGATAGTATAGGGAGATTGGGCCATGATCCACCACACGGGATTGGTGGGTACTAACGATTGCAGATGCAGCCGGGACGGCTTAACGTGCCTTCCGAAGCACGGAGGAGGTCGAGATAGTTAATTTTTGGTCACCCATCCAATAACCAACCAATGTGGAAGTTGCCTAACTTCAACGAACGCGGCCGAATGCGCTTACTATTTGCGCCAGTGAGGTCCTTTGATTTGCTATGGTGTTACTAAAAAGTACATTTTGCATTGGCACAGTCAATATTCCCTCGGTACGGCCTATACGTGGTGGGCTCGACGATGTCCGGCTTCGGGCTGGAGTCTTCGGACATGGACCTGTGCCTGTACATCCGACCCCTGGACAACGTGGACCCTCGAGCTCACGCGCTGCTACACCTCAACTACATCCTGGGGTACATCAAGACCTTCGACCCGGGTGAGTTTGAACCTTAAGATAATGATTTTAGGTCGATATTCCCTCGGACAAGGGTCCATGGTTATACATGTTAGCAACAGGGATCGTAGCCTCGGGTGAATCTTAAAGCTTCAAATTAGAATTAATATGAGTTAAAAATTGCGCTAAAAACTGGTTCCACGAAAACTGTGATCAAGAGGGCGGGGCGAAAAAAATGCGATCAACGCGCCGATCATGGGATTGGTTGGGATTTCTGTTTAACACTATTTTACCCAGTGAATGGATAGCCGAATTTATTTGCAGATTTGATTTACCAAATTATTTTGTTTTGTCTGTGACGCCGTCGCGTTAGTATCTCTTATCTATTAGACAAGTCCGTCCGTCTGTCTGTCTGTGGTGCTGTTTCAGCGGCCAAACCGTAAGAGATAGATAAAGAGAATATTTAAGTTATAAGTTAAGAATAGTCTGATAAGACTACAAACCGGATTTGAGTAACGTAGCACTTCCGGTTTTCGAGAAATCACGAATTTCAAACGAAACCACACAAAATCTCCGAAGTTCTCAATAAATTAAATACATTTTTTTTTAAATCAGGTTTTGTTGAACATTTGGTTCACTGGTTTGCTAGTTGAAGTTTATTTGTATGAATTTGGAACCATATTTTAGCGGCCTTTATTAGAGGGTAAAGCTTCCATATAATTTTTCATTTGTTGCCTTAAAGTTATAGGCTATAAAAATGAATTATGAACAGTTGCATACAAGACTTTATCTACACCCATGATATGAATCCTCTATAAAAGATTCTGAAACCATGGGGCATTCTAAGAACTTAAAATTAATCAAAAGTTTCGGCGCTGTGGTAGTCAATGCCCATGTTATTTTATTGAAATTCATAATACCACATATGGAGCAGTGAAAATTGAGGATGTCTGATGACTAAGCCCTCAGCGTGGAGGGGATTTAAAAAACGAAGTAGTGTTGAAATTTAGTATTGTTGTATTAATATAGCTGTGTTGATGGTCCATAAATAAATAAATAATTACAACATTATAACACCCGTTTGGCTGCTATATTTTTTTTTTATTTATGACTTTAGATGTTTTAATGTTGGCAATAAGCTTATTGTTTCAGAATCTTTAATCGAGGTTTTAAAGCATGGGTCTTGATAAAGACTTTTAATTAAACATATGTAACATTATAAACCTTTATTCTTTAACGCGTTCATTAATGACGTCGCTTCCTGCTTTCTGAATTCTGAAATACACTTATATGCAGATGACCTAAAAATCGTCAAGTTAATTGATAATGTTAATGATCCTATAGTCCTTCAGGAAGATCTCGACCGTTTCTCTTCCTGGTGCAAAGTAAATTCCATGAAACTCAACGTTTCAAAATGTAGCTTTATACACTTCTCTCAGAGAAAATCTCCTTACTTTAATACCTATAAAATAAATAATGATATTATCGGAGAAGTGGACGTTATTCGTGATTAGAATGTATTCATTGATCAAAAACTTCGTTTTCATATACATATAGACAAAATTACTAAAAAGAGCTTTAAGCTTTTGTGATTTGTATTAAGAAATTGCAAGGAATTTAGACAAGCCTCAAGCAAAATAGCAGTTTTTAACACATTGGTTAGATCTGGCTTAGAATACTGCAGTGTGATTTGGACACCGTTCATAAACAACGTATTGAATCCATATTAAAAAGGTTCTTAGGGCACTTAACTTATAAACACTACTTGTCCAAACAACTACCCACATACAGATCGCGCCTGAATCACTTTAAGCTTAACGGTCTCGAAAATCGCCGTAAAATGCATGATCACATTTTCAAATTACTAAACGGTCACTTAGATTGCTCACACTTGTTAGCGCAGATTAACTAATATCCTATATAAATCTGCTCGACCACGGTAATATTATCTATACAGTATTGTGACTCCGCCCTGTCCTTGAAAATAAATGCCTACACCGAACGCTAGGTTGGCACGCGGTAGGGCCGCCAGCCTACAGTATTTTATGTAGTTTTGTTTTTAACGCGAGTGTAGGTAGATTACTCGTTTGTCTCTTTTTTCGTCCTAACCACTTATTTATATATTATTCCAGATATTTTGCCCGATGGAAAAACCGAAATACCTAAATATTAGAAACAAATAACGTACTAGTAGATAGGTATATAAAAAATATTCTATAAAGGTAAGACACCTTTCCAATATTTCAGGTAATTTAAAAAATTATATTTCTGGGTGTGTTATTGAAGAGTTCAAGCAACCAAAAACAGCAATTGTGCTGTTGTACGATATTGATCGTCGTTTGTTCTTTTCCATACTAAATTATGTAGGTATCTACTTAATTAAATCAAATATTTACAATACAAAACGCACGTTTAAGCACGGCTAACTGCATAAAAAACAATTCTGACCGTTCGGTCGTCGTTGCGGCGCGGCGGCGCATTCGCGACTGGGTGCACGCCGAGAGCACATCGAACTCGAGTGGCGTAGGTATGACTCGCTTTCCGACCGTTTGTATGAAGATAGAATACTGTATGATATTATTACCGTGGCTCGACCTTCACGTTATGCGCCTTTCCGAGCAGGGGCTTCCAGAACTAACCTTGGTCATTTTTGTACCATTAATAGACTTCAGTCACAATATAACACACTATTACGTACGCTGGCCGCTTCATCCAAGCACAGTGATATAGACATGTCTTCTTCTCTTCGCAAATTTAAGTCTGCTCTTTTAGACTCCTTTGTGCCCACATAGATCAAATCATATAATTGTTAAGCATACCACCACAACGGCGTCAATTCTGGCAGCGTTCTCTAGGCCTAGACTTGGATTAGGCGGCAGTGTATCCTTGTCATTCTCAATACAGAATGCAAGTGAGGGACTGGTGTTGGATCTGTTTTTGGGTCAGGAGAAAGATGTCAGAATGGATATGAGTATGTACCTAATATTTAGTTTTGTAGTTTTGAAGTGTTTGTACTAGATTACCTTATTTTGTTTAGTTATTTAATTTAATGGCGGTTGATTAATTATTGCGACAGTTAAACATGGACAGTAATAAAAAATCAATCAGTCGGTTATTTTATCATACAATGTCAATTCTAAAAATAATTGTGCAGTCCAATAACTGAAAGAGCGGTAAAAATGACGGAATGAGCGGTTCTATAAATAATTCGGCAGTTCATAGCGAGCGGTGACACCCGAAGTCAAATTCTTTGAAAAGAGAGGTAAATGTTCGTTAGTTGGGCGGAGCTTATTAGCGCAGGTGGCCTGCTCTTATTATACCATAAGTTTATTTAACTGCTACTAAGCAAATTCTATGTCATTTAATTACTTAAGTATGTTTCGAATTACGAATAAAAGTTCCTGTTATTATTATACAATTTGTTTTATTTAATTCCTTCAGTCAAAGCAAAAGGTATTTAATTTTTCATTACTATTTAAGTGCTGTTTTTTTATTTTATTTTACCACCTCACTGTTTATAGAATTGCTTAGAATGAGATTTGTTACCGACAAATTCCGATTTAATACTGCCCACACGTAACCGCTCGTTCAATAACTTTTACCGCCCGTTTAATTATTTTCCAGCTCAATTCACTAATCCATTTCATTCTTTTTTACTATACTGCTTAGTTTGAACTGCTGAACTAGTTATTAAACGTGCCATTTTATAATTTTTAACTTACCAAAACTGCTATTTACAACTGCTTCTTTAAATCAATGTCGATAATTTATATCCCGAAAAAATGGTAGCTTCCTGAGGGATTCTCGTCAAAAGATTTCTTAAAGTTAACCACGAATGTAGTCGCGTACTCTTGTGAAATTGATAAACGGCATCTTCATTTACATAAATCACACCCAGACACAGAACAAATATTCATGCTCATCACACAAATATTTGTACAAGGTAAAATAATAAATCGAATGAGATTTTGTAATAATTTATTAAACACCAGTATTTTTGATAACTAAAATAAGTTCGATACTTATAATCGATTAAACAATGTACTAGCATAAAATCGATTATAGCTTTAAATCGAACGAGTTATGTGATAGGGTGTCACTATTTTTACTTCGATCGATCTGTCAAAAAGATAATAATATAATGGACAGACTATAATAGGGGTGATGACGGGATACAGTAAACGAAATTCTATTTAGTCCGTCAGTTAGATGATCAAAAAATAATGCACACGTATTTTTTCTTTGGGCAATCAACCAAAAAATGACAAAGTTATAGCGCGTCAAAGTTTGGGAGTAGGGGCTCGTGACGTCACTTTTCCCTTAGTGAATTTTCCCTTATAAGTGTACTCAAACGTGACGTCATGCAACTTTTCTCAAATCAATATATCTCTGCAATGTTTATATTATGTGAAAAAAGAAAAAATACGTGTCCAATACTTTTTGATAATCTACCTGATAAACGAAGAAAAAAAAAATTAGTCATCATCCCTATTGAACGAGTCTTGTTGTTGTATAGAGGCGGAGTTGATCCAGGCAAAGGTGCCTATTCTCAAGTTTCGAGACGCGCGCAACGGCGTGCAAGTCGACCTCAACTGCAACAACGTTGTGGGCATCCGGAACACAAACCTGCTCTACGGGTTCTCTAGGAGTAAGTACATAAAACACATTGTAAGCAAACTTTTATTAATTTACTAGCGGCCCGCCTTCGCTTCGCTTCGGTGTAGAGCTGAAGTGTAGACTACAGTTTTTATTCTCAGGCTTGTATTATACACAATGACATTCATCTATGATTCTTCTTATACCTGCATGCAAAGTCTCAGCCCAATCGGGTTAAAATTGACAAAGTTTCATACAAACTTTCATTCCCTATTTTATCCCCTTGGGGATAGAATTGATCAAAATCCTTTCTTAGCGGATGCGTAAGTTATAACATCTACCTGCATGCCAAATTTCAGCCCGATCCATCCAATGGTTTGGGCTGTGCGTTGATAGATCACTATGTCAGTCAGTCAGTCACCTTTGAGTTTTATATATATAGATTTATCTTTAACAAAGTTTCTACAGCTATTTTTGTGGATGTAATACGATAAAATATAAATACAATCTTAAGGCCAATTACATAAACTTATTATGTACACATTAGATCTTAACGGCGTTACTTTAAATCAATATAACATTAAATTTTAATAATATTTTATTTAGTTTGAATTGTTATTGGAGTTGGTACTGGAGGGTCCATGTAACATCCCTTCTCAATGTCTGATGCGTTTGAATTTTTTTTTCCTATATTCTACCCCCTCGTACGGCTAACCTCAATGCATGGCTTGAAACCGGCAGAATAATATTTTGTTCCGTCTTCAGAAACGTAGCTTCTATTCAAAAGACTGACTATTTGAACGCGACCGAAAGTGATGGCCGTTTGTTGAAATATTTATTTTGCTGGCCTACATAAAGGGCTTAGATATGGCAGAACTATTTCACATGGTACAAGGTTGCCTCCCTTATATTATTCTGCCGCACTCGTTTAAATCTCAAAATCTTCGCTTGGTGTTTGGAACTACTATAAGACCTATATCTATATATGTAGAGCTCGATGGCGCAGGTGGCTAGCGCGTTTGGCTGCGATCGTTGAAATGAAGCAACTTTCGCAATGGTCGGTCATTGGATGGGTGGCCAAATCAGAAATCAATATATCTTTATTCAAATTAGATGTATAGTACAACACTTTTGAATCGTCCAAACATTTTTTTTCCCTACCACTCGTTATTGGACATATTTTTTAGCTGCGGAGAAAAACGAACGAAAAAAACTCCACAACATTAAAAGCATAATGTAACAACATTTACAAATCATTATGTTGTTACAACGTCAATACAATCATGATTTATTTAATATAGAAAACCTGTTGGAATGATTGGAACAGTTCAAATCCAAGCATTTTTGTCTGTAATATAATCAGACACTTTGTAATAAGCTTTTTTAATAAGTGTTTTTTTATACTATCTTTGAATTTATTTATGCTTAACTCTTGGATAATGCTTGGGACTTTATTGTATAAGCGAACACAAAGACCTTTAAATGAATTATTGATTTTGTGAAGCCTAGTAGCAGGTAAAGTTAGTTTATTTTTGTTTCTTGTATTAAGTGTGTGAACATCACTGTTTTTAAGAAACAAATTAATATTTTTTCTTACAAGTAATAAATTTTCGTAAATGTATTGTGATGCGACCGTCATTATACCAAATTCTTTAAACCTATCTCTTAAGGAATCCTTAACTTTAAGATTATAAATTGATCGAATAGAATCAAAAATATTCTATCTCGAGTTTCTTCGTGCTTCGGAAGGCACGTTAAGCCGTTGGTTCCTGCATCTGCAGTCGTTAGCACCGGCCAATCCGCACTGGGCCCGCGTGTTGGGTCATGGCCCAATCTCCCTATTCCATCCATAGGGAAGGCCTGTGCCCCAGCAGTGGGGACATTAATAGGCTGATGATGATGATGATAAGACCTATCCGTTCAGACAGATCCATTCTATGCACTTTAATTTATAAATAGGTAGGCATGATCTAACCCCATCAGCCCCCATAGCATGAGTACCGCGATATGCTTTATAACGCGTTTTTATCACGTTCAATTGTCAAATTACTATGGAGTTTGACAGTTAGACGCGATAAAAAACGTGATATAATGTAAATTGGGGTGCTAATGCTACAGGGACTGATGTTGAGTGGCGATAACTCCAATGTATGCATTAATGATTACTTATTTTTTTAATCCAATGTACTTTTAGGGCAGTTTTAGGCCATTTTTTTTGTGATATTCATCTTGGTTAACTGTATATATAAAAGGCAACGGTTATTGACTGATCTAGCAACGCACAGATTAAACCACTGAATGGATTGCGCTGTAATTTGGCACACATATAGCTATTTCCCAAACATAAATAAATGAAATGAAATGAAATGTGAGCATTATTGTGACAACCTTCTTCGAGATAAATCGAAATTGCTGTTCTGGCCACGCGAGCAGCGGCGGGTAAAAGTTATATGAAAATCCATATCTGTCGTGTTTTAGCGGCCAAATAAATACTTAGTTTCCAACTGACTTGCAAAAAGAAAGTCCTTTCTTGGAAATAAAACAAACGATTGAGTGCTGTTGTTTTTTTTCCATTTTAAAATGAAGGGATGTAGGTAATTGTATTTTTCAAATAATAAGTTCTACCTAGGGGCTACTTAGTTTAATTTCCACGCATTATTTGAGAAAAGTACTATACAAGCCTTAGCTACAACTAGGCATTGATGGACTTACGTATGTGTGCCTCGGTTTTGCTCTTTCACTGGCCGCTGCAATAATCACCACTCAGCACCTCCTTAAGGGGGGTATCATCATCATCATCATCAGCCTATTAATGTCCCTACTGCTGGGGCACAGGCCTTCCCTATGGATGGAATAGGGAGATTGGGCCATGACCCACCACGCGGTCCAGTGCGGATTGGTGGGTGTTAACGACTGCATATGCAGCCGGGACCAACATCTTAACATGCCTTTCGAAGCACGGAGGAGCTTGAGATAGTAAATTTTTGGTCACCCATCCAATGACCGACCACTGTGAAAGTTGCTTAACTTCAACGTTTGCAGCCGAACGCGCTAACCACTTGCGCCATCGAGCTCCTCAGGGGAATATACGGGGGTTCAAAAGTTAACGCGGACGAAGTAATGGGCTGGCGCTAGTCATCCAATTTACTTTTAGGGCAGTTTTATGCCATATTTATTTCGTGATATGTTGTTTTTTTTTTAAATATAATTATGTAAATGTATTGTCGCAGTGGATTGGCGCGTGCGGCCCCTCGTGGCGGTGACCAAACTGTGGGCGCAGGCGCACAACATCAACGACGCGAGGCAACGGACGCTGTCCTCATACAGCCTCACGCTCATGGTCATACACTTCCTGCAGTGTGAGTATACTGCACAACATCAACGACGCGAGGCAACGGACGCTGTCCTCATACAGCCTCACGCTCATGGTCATACACTTCCTGCAGTGTGAGTATACTGCACAACATCAACGACGCGAGGCAACGGACGCTGTCCTCATACAGCCTCACGCTCATGGTCATACACTTCCTGCAGTGTGAGTATACTGCACAACATCAACGACGCGAGGCAACGGACGCTGTCCTCATACAGCCTCACGCTCATGGTCATACACTTCCTGCAGTGTGAGTATACTGCACAACATCAACGACGCGAGGCAACGGACGCTGTCCTCATACAGCCTCACGCTCATGGTCATACACTTCCTGCAGTGTGAGTATACTGCACAACATCAACGACGCGAGGCAACGGACGCTGTCCTCATACAGCCTCACGCTCATATAGGACACATTTGCTTGCGTCATCGAATATCTGCGAAACTGCTACGGTAGCGAAATATCTGAAAACAAAAAGTTAGTTTTTTCGCAAAGAAATGACATTGAAATATTTCAATATTTCAGCCTCCTATGTGTTCACCGACAGGACGTAAATGTGATACGAAACGTAACACCACTAGCGAAACAGCTGCGTCTGTGTAACGACATTTGCGCAGTTCCTTGCGAAACAATACCGACAAGAACGCACCTATTTCAACTAACTAGTGCTAGAGCGAGAACTAGCGCATGCGAAACTCTGCCATACAATTAACTTTTTTTTTCGTTGTTTCGCCTTCGTCTGCGTATGCGTCGTTGTACTTAAGAAGTAAAGTAAGTACATAGCGCCGCGACTGCGTTTTCAGTCTGACTAAACACTGAGTGAGCCTATTTGTTTCTTAGGTTTTCACAAATCTGCAGTGTGTGAGCATGCATTAGGGGGACCAAACCACTACATTAGATTTGATAGACCACAGATCCTTGCAGCTGAGCGGCGGTTCGTTCCTCGAATGATGCGCGAGGCTATTGAGATTTAAAAATATCCAAATTTCAACAGGGAAGATGGTTGGTATATACCACCAGCTTGGGAACCTATTATACAGGAGATAAAATCCCAACACCGAGCACACACTGCAAGACCATCAGATACTATTAGTTCTTTTTGTTTGAATAATTTAACATAAGAAGGAGATAGAAAGCCTCTCTTGAGTTTGTTTCGCCGGTTCTTCTCAGGAAGGTCTCCCAATTTTGGAACCGGTGGTAGTTTACGGTAGTTAGGGTCAAATAAATAAACTCAAAATTACAAACAAGAATTTTAAATAAAATACTTTATTAAGTAAATTAAATAATAAATTCATACATAGACAATAAAATTTTAAAAATCTTCCAATGAAATAACCGAACGCTCAATATAAGTCTTTCGAAGGTAGCTCGACAATTTTAAATAAAAAATCATTATTCTGACGATGCAGACCTGAAAAGGCTGCGAAACGTCAATAAATAAATAAAGTTTCGTGCATTAACCCGTAAAAACTAGTTTTATTTACTGAGTGAGCCCTTATTTTAGCATTAGCACGCGGGATCAGGGCCCGATCTATATCTATAACACAAACAAATTACAAGTTATGAATACACGGATTAGTTATGGGAGGAAAACAATATTATCTGAGGAAGTACAACAACATTTTAACGAGCTACCGGATGAAATAAAAAATGTAAAAATATATTTAAAAGTAAATTAAAAGAGTCACACAGCTTTAAATTTTTATAATAGGGAAATTCTAACATTATTGTTATCACAAAGCTGTACAATAACTCACAATAATGTAAATGTTTGTATACTAAACCGATACTGCCGAAGCAGTCACAAAGTAATATTAGAATGTGAAAATTGAAAATCTCATTACAAGAAAACTGTATGTTTTTATGAGGAATAACCCCCTCCCCCCTCTTGATCGGGCCCTGCGTGTGCTGTCACTACACTGAAACCTGCGCATTGTTGCGCAAGTCGTGGCGCACAAAACGAAATGTAGAAGTAGTTGTAAGTGCGCGCAGGGTGTCTCTCTATTGAAATCTGTGCGTAGTTGCGCTCGCTGCTCACTAGGTTCTAGGCTAAGAGCCACTGTCCACGGAAGCGTAGCTCCATAGATGCATATTTATCATTATACGCTTGGTGTATGTCTACTTGTAGGTTACATACAACGATATTAAATACCCTAGATACACCACGTGCGCTCAAAATGTTTCCAAATCAAGAAGTGCTTGAACACCACTCAAGCACTTCTTGATTCACAATCATACACGGAATTTTGAAAAGTCAACATGCCGCAGAGCTCTGTGCAAACAAAATACTTATAGTACGTAAATTATCGTTTTATCGACAGGTACCTAATCAATGTTTGTTGATTTAACGAATATGAAGCAAATTTTGTTCTAATACTTACTATAAACTTATTTAATAGAATCCAATCCACTCACGAGTTCGTTGATTAATCTATATAAAATATATATAAAACTCAAAGGTGACCGACTGACACAATGATCTATCAACGCACAGCCCAAACCACTGGACGGAACGGGCTGAAATTTGGCATGCACGTAGATGTTATGACGTAGGCATCCTCTAAGAAAGGATTTTGATCAATTCTACCCCAAAGCGAAGCGAGGGCGGGCCACTAGTTTAAAATAAAATAAAAATAGAAGTATAATGGTGTCGATTCTGGCAGAATTCTCTAAACTTAAAACTAAATTTAAGATCATTCCGTCCTTTTCATTCTGTATAGAGAACGAAAGGGATACACCGTTGTCAAATTTAAGTTTAGCTTTAGAGAATCATGCCAGAATCGACACCAATGGAGAAATAAAAACAGTTTTGCGGCCTCCCACGATGCTCCGTGAGTCGTTAGCCATAGTTTGTATGTTGGTTGGTTAGTATAGCGGCATCGTTCCCCTCAGGCGGCACATCGCCCAGCATCCTGCCGCGCTGGGCGGGCGGCACGGCGGGCTGGGAGCGGCGCGCACACAACAGAGCCACGCTCGCAGAACTATTCCTGCAGCTGCTGCGCTACTACGCCGACTTCCCGTGAGTATCGATAACGCTCACTCTTTTGTTACCACTTAAAAAAAAATTGTCCAATGATGGCACAAAAATTATTACCTTGTGGTTTTGGTGCATTTGAGTTGAATGAAATTAATGTATGTCGTAGTTATAATTTTTATTTTTAAGCATGTAACTGCTTGATGTTTAAATATAAAGAAAAAATAACTGGAAAAAAATGGATGCGTGTAACTTATGTACGCGCGTGAGAAGTTATACTTCTTTAGCATCATTTAAAAATATTTTTTAATTGCATGCAAATAATTAATAATTACAATAAAATAATAAAAGGACTGGAAAAGGATAGTTAACACAGTCAATTAAGTTCAGTTTTAATTTGAAAAATTAAATAAATATTCAAAATATTCAATTAAAATCACTACTGAATTTAAGTTATTAGTCCATATGTAATTAGCACTTGTAAGTAACTAAAACACGTTGTGTCTATATAGAAACTAGAAACATGTGGATAAATATTATAAATATGAAAACAGTGATCAGAGGCGACGAGCGTGCCAACATTGTTTTTGACAACGCGATCATCTTATGGAGCTCCGTGGATCGTTCAAAGTACTTTTCGAACAGATGCCTATTCGATTATTAATATACTAATAATTAGACACTAACATTCATAACGCGCCCGCGGCCAACTTCATGGTGTTACTATTGTGTTGCAGTGATGCGCGCGCATCGCGAAATTTCACTCTCATCATTTTTTCATAACGCGGCTAAAGAAGTATAACTTCAAAAATCCACGCGGACCAGGCAGTAGACGGAACTCGAACCCGCACCTTTCGCTATCCAGGCGAATGCACTGACCGATTATGCTACCGCGGCCCTAATGGCCGCGTCGAAATTCTTCTAGCCATTCTTAAGCTGCAAGGCAGCGCCATCTCTTCGCATTCTAGGTAACCCACAATGTCAAATGAATACTTTTACAAGTATTAAACATTTGAAAGAAGAAATAGCAATCATAGTCATAATTATTATTTTTTTCTAGTTATATTTTCTTTAGATTTAAACATCAAGCAGTTACATGCTTAAAAAATAAATTAGGTTTGCTATTCCGCCTTCTTCCACAATTGACAGCTCACGTCATAAAAGTACAAAGCTTATTTGTACCTTCTAGAAATCTATTACTACTATAAAGATAGAAAATGGGGGATAGTGTCAGGTTGACGTTGGTTTATACACCAACGTCAAACTGACACTATGTTCAGATGAACACTGATTAGACAAGTCATATGATGATATGCTACTTAGCCTATGCGAGTGCTGTCAGCTTTCATAGCGGTCAAACTATGGTCAAAATATGCCCTATTTACCGATTGAAAGCTTTGTGTGGTTTTAGATCTTTTGAATGAAGTTTTTAGCGATTCAATAGCAAAAAAATTGCATTCAAATTGATTCATAGACTATAAAGACATACGCAATTTGACGGATGAGTAGACCTTTTGGCTCAATGCTGCCATCTGGCGCCCGCCATAGATATAAAGCTTACATTATTTAAATGCCATACTAGGCCTGATTCTGACATGGTATGCTAAACTTTAGCATACCATGTCCAAATCTCTCCTTTTCCCTCTAAACTTTAGAGTCTAAAATATGATAAAGACATACTTGTCAAATTTAATTGGATAAAAAAAATGTGAGAATCAGGTCCATTGTGAACTAAAGTGGAATGGAGCCAGTGTATGGAATGTGTGGAAAGTGACTTCAGAAGTGTCTCTGAAGTCATTATTCAACTTGACGACTTTGTATATATCAATACAGGGAGAAAAAAGCAGCCCTTGCTGAGTTTCTTGCCGATTCTTCTCAGTACAAGGTCTCCCGCCGTAGTTTTGCGAACCGATGGCGTAGCTTCTTGACCTTCACAAGTGCTTGTAACAGCCAGTGCATTTCGTATAGTGTGAGGATCTTGAAGCGGTCCCTTCTTGGTTTCAATTGGTTACCGCGGTATGATAAAACGTGAATATTATGCACAATAGGTATAGCACAATGGCTGTTTCCGTCCGGGCCGGGGCTCGAGTCCCCATAGCCGAGTGTCGTGCGGCGCGAGCTCATAAGAACGACCCGCACCAGTGGAAGCTACTCTGCGTAGAGGGTGAGTCAAATCATTACTAATCTGTACTAATATTACAAACTTCGTTTCTTAGGTTTTCACGCACATCACTCATTAAATAAAATTAGTGTTAACGGGTTAATGCACGAAACTTTGTCGAGCTACCTTCATAAAATAAAATAAAAAATCATTATTCTGACGATGCAGACATGAAAAGATTGCGAAACGTCAATAAATAAATAAAGTTTCGTGCATTAAACCCTTAAATCTAGTTTTATTTCATTACATTGCATTCGGCCGGATAGCGAAGGCTGCGGTTTCTAGTCCTAATTTTTTCCTAATTTTAGATGACAACTTTAAAAACTGTTTTGTTTTTGTCTATGGTATTTCCAGACATTTGTTCTTTAATTTCTGCAAGATTTTTAAAACGGCTTTTCTTTGAAAAAATCTTTTAAAAACTAAAAATCATTAGTTTTAATAAATTCTTGTTCTTTGAATCATGATGAAATGCACTTTCTGTAGGTCTTACTTTGATAGTTGTAAGTTTTATAACTTTTTGAGAAAATGTTTAGTTCCGAAGTAGCCAGTGACCAGATTTATTTGCAGTGCAGTGTACTTATATATCTATTTTTATGCATTATTTCTGTTACCCTAGTATCACAAAACGCACGCCTTACTTTGGGGGCTAGGGTGATGGGTCCGAGTGTTACAAATACGCATTAATTGAACGAATGAATGATTTCCTCTCCCCAGAGCCGTTCGACTTGACGAACACGGCGCGCTCCGTCTACGACCCCGAAACGTTCGAGCGGATAGTGAACACTTTCCGGGAGAGCCACGCGCGCCTACACGCCGCCCTGCGCCTGCACGCTGCCTGGCCGCAGCGGTGACGCGACCGCCCCGCCACCCCCCCCGGGCCCCCCCGCGCGGCTATATACACAGGTATATGATGCGGGCACCTGCCTGGGAGCCACGCGCGCCTGCACGCCGCCCCCCCCGCCCCCCCGCGCGGCTATATACACAGGTATATGATGCGGGCACCTGCCTGGGAGCCACGCGCGCCTGCACGCCGCCCCCCCGCCCCCCCGCGCGGCTATATACACAGGTATATGATGCGGGCACCTGCCTGGGAGCCACGCGCGCCTGCACGCCGCCCCCCCGCCCCCCCCGCCCCCCCGCGCGGCTATATACACAGGTATATGATGCGGGCACCTGCCTGGGAGCCACGCGCGCCTGCACGCCGCCCCCCCGCCCCCCCGCGCGGCTATATACACAGGTATATGATGCGGGCACCTGCCTGGGAGCCACGCGCGCCTGCACGCCGCCCCCCCCGCCCCCCCGCGCGGCTATATACACAGGTATATGATGCGGGCACCTGCCTGGGAGCCCCGCGCGCCTGCACGCCGCCCCCCCGCCCCCCCGCGCGGCTATATACACAGGTATATGATGCGGGCACCTGCCTGGGAGCCACGCGCGCCTGCACGCCGCCCCCCCGCCCCCCCGCGCGGCTATATACACAGGTATATGATGCGGGCACCTGCCTGGGAGCCCCGCGCGCCTGCACGCCGCCCCCCCGCCCCCCCCGCGCGGCTATATACACAGGTATATGATGCGGGCACCTGCCTGGGAGCCACGCGCGCCTGCACGCCGCCCCCCCGCCCCCCCGCGCGGCTATATACACAGGTATATGATGCGGGCACCTGCCTGGGAGCCACGCGCGCCTGCACGCCGCCCCCCCGCCCCCCCGCCCCCCCGCGCGGCTATATACACAGGTATATGATGCGGGCACCTGCCTGGGAGCCCCGCGCGCCTGCACGCCGCCCCCCCGCCCCCCCCGCGCGGCTATATACACAGGTATATGATGCGGGCACCTGCCTGGGAGCCACGCGCGCCTGCACGCCGCCCCCCCGCCCCCCCCCCCCCCCCGCGCGGCTATATACACAGGTATATGATGCGGGCACCTGCCTGGGAGCCACGCGCGCCTGCACGCCGCCCCCCCGCCCCCCCCGCGCGGCTATATACACAGGTATATGATGCGGGCACCTGCCTGGGAGCCCCGCGCGCCTGCACGCCGCCCCCCCGCCCCCCCCGCCCCCCCGCGCGGCTATATACACAGGTATATGATGCGGGCACCTGGCTGGGAGCCACGCGCGCCTGCACGCCGCCCCGCCACCCCCCCCCGGGCCCCCCCGCGCGGCTATATACACAGGTATATGATGCGGGCACCTGCCTGGGAGCCACGCGCGCCTGCACGCCGCCCCCCCGCCCCCCCCGCGCGGCTATATACACAGGTATATGATGCGGGCACCTGCCTGGGAGCCACGCGCGCCTGCACGCCGCCCCCCCGCCCCCCCCGCCCCCCCCGCGCGGCTATATACACAGGTATATGATGCGGGCACCTGCCTGGGAGCCACGCGCGCCTGCACGCCGCCCCCCCCGCCCCCCCGCCCCCCCCGCGCGGCTATATACACAGGTATATGATGCGGGCACCTGCCTGGGAGCCACGCGCGCCTGCACGCCGCCCCCCCCCCCCCCCCCGCCCCCCCCGCGCGGCTATATACACAGGTATATGATGCGGGCACCTGGCTGGGAGCCACGCGCGCCTGCACGCCGCCCCGCCACCCCCCCCGGGCCCCCCCGCGCGGCTATATACACAGGTATATGATGCGGGCACCTGCCTGGGAGCCACGCGCGCCTGCACGCCGCCCCCCCGCCCCCCCCGCCCCCCCGCGCGGCTATATACACAGGTATATGATGCGGGCACCTGCCTGGGAGCCACGCGCGCCTGCACGCCGCCCCCCCGCCCCCCCCGCCCCCCCGCGCGGCTATATACACAGGTATATGATGCGGGCACCTGCCTGGGAGCCACGCGCGCCTGCACGCCGCCCCCCCGCCCCCCCGCCCCCCCCGCGCGGCTATATACACAGGTATATGATGCGGGCACCTGCCTGGGAGCCACGCCCCCCCGCCCCCCCCGCCCCCCCCGCCCCCCCCGCCCCCCCGCGCGGCTATATACACAGGTATATGATGCGGGCACCTGGCTGGGAGCCACGCGCGCCTGCACGCCGCCCCGCCACCCCCCCCGGGCCCCCCCGCGCGGCTATATACACAGGTATATGATGCGGGCACCTGCCTGGGAGCCACGCGCGCCTGCACGCCGCCCCCCCCCCCCCCCCGCCCCCCCGCGCGGCTATATACACAGGTATATGATGCGGGCACCTGCCTGGGAGCCACGCCCCCCCGCCCCCCCCGCCCCCCCCGCCCCCCCCGCCCCCCCGCGCGGCTATATACACAGGTATATGATGCGGGCACCTGGCTGGGAGCCACGCGCGCCTGCACGCCGCCCCGCCACCCCCCCCGGGCCCCCCCGCGCGGCTATATACACAGGTATATGATGCGGGCACCTGCCTGGGAGCCACGCGCTCCTACACGCTTTGGCCAGGGATGAAGGCCTTCGTTACGGACTACCTGAAGCTCTGGGTGGCCTGTCAGCGCTACAAAGCAATAAATAAGAAGCCAGCAGATCTCCTACAAACTCCGGCGCCAGCTCGAAGGTTTAAAGTGTTATCAGTGGACTTATTCGGTCCGTTGCCGAGAACTCCGAGGGGCAACAATTGGATTTTGGTTGCGGAGGATGTATGCACCGGTTGGGTAGATCTTTTCTCTTTAAAAAGCGTCACTAGCGTCGAGTGCATCCACATTCGTATATCAGAAGTATTCCTGAGATATGGAATGCCACGTAGGATGATAAGCGACAACGGTGTGTAGTTTGTTGCCGAGGTGATGCATCAGGCTAGGCATGTGATGGGTATCAAACAGTCTCTGACGCCGTTGTATCGCCCCGAAGCTAACCCCGTTGAACGCAAGAACCGCGATTAGAAGCCCCAGATAGCAATCCTCGTGGGCAAATCACATGGCGATGAATTCCGTTGTTACAACCAGCACTGGATTTTCACCGGCTTACCTAACTTTTGGTAGGGAACAGCGCGCACCAGCGGACCTTGTGGCAGATATGAAGACTATTGTGGATAGTGATAACTTCGTCGCTAACATTACGCCTTATCATCGCAACTTGTCTAACGAGCTTTTAGAGGCCAAGAACGTGCACGAACGCGCGCAGGCTATTCATAAGATATACGCGGATGAGGGCCGTCGTCCGCCGCCCGACTATAAGGTCAAAGACCTTATCCTGCTGAAGACTCAGGGGGCCAACGACACTGGAACGGTGCAAGTTGCAAAGTATATACCAAGAAGCGATGGGCCATACCGGATCCAAGAGGTTGTAAGCCCGACGACTTACCTGTTAAAAGGAGCTTCTCGAGGCGTGATGATATGTCGGTACCATATGTCTGCCTTGACCCCTTTTGTAGGCCTTATAGTCTTCAGTTAGGGAAAGTCATAGGCGTGGTTGTCCGCGGAGACAGTAGGCACAGTAGACCGTGGGGACCTTAGGTCTAGCACTCGAGGGCGGTTCGAACTAGAGAGGAAGTGTGTAACGACCCTAGATCACCCCCATATAGGTTCGTCAACCCTACGAATTGCACGCTTGCGCGTTAGAATCGAGCTGTGAGTAACCTAGCAACGCGCTCGAGTGAGATAGAAAAGAAATATATTCATTTTACTAGGCAGAACATATATAGTGATTTAACAATAAATGCCTTAAGAAGTACTACTAGCTTTGCATCTTCTATAGCATTTATCACAGGGAGTGTTCTGAGGAATTGTTCGGATTAATTCCAGCTGCTGCATTTCGCCATCGTACATCGCGACAAAAATTTCATCCCCATCATCTTGATGCATGGCTATCCACAACCGTGCGTTTTTGTCGAAATTTTTTACCACATAAGACAAAACTGGAATATATTGTCGCCAGCAGTGTTTCCGGACCAATACGACAAAAAAGAGCGTACTCCTTCCTTAAAGGCCGGCATCGCATTTGTGATACTCCTGGTGTTGCAAGTGTCCATGGGCGACGGTGATCACTTACCATCAGGTGAGCCGTCTACTCGTATGCCCCCTATAACATAAAAAAAAGCATAGATTTCTTTTCAACAAGAAATTTCTTATTAAAAAGTACGAAAACCCTTAAAAATTTTGAATGTTTGAAACGCAACAGAGCGGTTGCAACGTAAAAGTCGATAACAGCAAAAAGAGCCATGTTCACAAGATATGTCAAAGTCAACCGACGAGACCTAGTGCGAGTACATTGAACTCAGTGATCGGAACGACTCCGAGCGAGCGAACGTTTTTTTATGAGAAGCTCGATGGCGCATGTGTTTATCGCGTTCGGCTGCGATCGTTGAAGTTAAGCAAATTTCACAGGGGTCGGCCATTGGTCGGGTAACCAAAAATTTACTTTCTCGACCTCCTCCGTGCTTCGGAAGGCACTAGAGGTGGGTCGTCGACGTATTTTTCGTCGACGAAACGAAACCGTCCACTACCGTCCATCGACTAGTCGATCAACTAGTTGAATTCTTCGACTAGTTGACATGATAACGGCAGGCTTTAAAGGGTTTATATCAACTACGCGGTGACTGGTCTGCGGGCGCGACGCAACGACGACGATTCAATAAACAAAACTGCAACTACTTGAGGAAAACCATTATTATAAACCCGTTCATCCTGCACTGCATCGTTTAGCCAGATCCATCGACGTACTCTTTCACGCAATATAAAAATACTCTTACCTCTTCACTTTAACAACTCTAGTTTAAAAAATGAACAAATATCAACTCCCACGCCATATACTTAAGTTTCAAATGGCTTTATTTCAACGAATGAACGAACGTATGGCAAGTCCATACATTCGTTCAACGTTCGTTAACGGGTAAACCAGATACGTTTACGCGTCGTCGACGCTTTGTCAGTAGATATGAACGCTGTGGACTCTCAGTTTAGCCGTCTATGAATTCAACTAGTTAACGAATTAACTGTAGACCGTCGAAGCGTCGATTGAACGTAGACCGTCTATTTAAACCGTTCGTTAATTCAACGCCCATCGCTAGAAGGCACGTTAAGCCGTTAGTCCCGGCTGCATCTGCAGTATGTAGCACCCTCCAATCCGCACTGGACGCGCATGGTGGGTCATAAGCCCAAACTCCCTATAAAAATACTAAAATAAGATGTTTTGTACCCATTCCACCAATCGACTCATAAGTTTCAATGTCTGTCAACAGGTAAAACCCTTAGATGATTGATCACAACTAGAAGATACGGCTCCCTCACATGGCACTCGCGCTCGCCTGCGGCCATGGAACCCCTGGAACCCTGGAACCCCGCGTCACCACCGCACTATGGACAATATAAATATACTAATAAGAACCCGAGGGTTCCGCCGGTGTACGCCGTATTACTCTAGTTGAGCAACAGGTGCTAAAACAATTATTTTATGATTTATTTTATTTTTAAAATAATATAATTGTTAATTAGGTGGTGTGGCGTTATTTGCCACGCCTTCTATGAAATAACTTAGTATTATATGAACGTCGGAGCTTCGTATTAACGCTGTCGCGATCACGAAATGGCACCTTGGAAAAGATGCATGAATGCTTGCTCCCGTTCTCACATTGTTTGAAATAGATGCTTGGCATTTTCTTGGATATGTCATGATTGTTAAAAGCGGTGCACTTTCAGCATGAACTCTGTTTTATTGTACCCCATTATTAATGATGCCCTGCCAATTGATTTTTAACTCTTGAGCTTGTAGCACAAGATGGCATCGTTTTAACAAATTTTATATTATTTAATTTCATCCATTTTTTTAGTTTGTAATAAACTAAATCGTAACTGTGTGCTGTGCTAGGTTATGAGCGCGATTCTTGTACCGTATCTTCCTATTTTGTTTTCATCTAAGGAAAAAATAAATATTAATATTGGAATGTTTTATTATGGTCGTGTGTAAATAATAATATATTTTGTGAATGAACGACAAACAAAAAAAAAATATAATTATATAGATGTGTATATATTATTTGTAAGATCCGTGTGAGAGTCGTTTTAGCGGTGTGAACTTGTGAAATGATTGATAAAGGCGGAATTGGACGGTTCATCGAGCGATACGTTTTTGCAATGGTTTCTAAATGCGGGACAGTGAAATGCGTTGTTTTTATAGACGCATCGCTTTTGATGAAAGCTTATTATTCTATAACTTGTGGAATTCCCGAACATCTATGTCGAGTTATTTAATCAAAGAATAAATACAGTGAAAGATTTGAACTGTGAATGAGCTGTCGCTGTTTAGATGCTAGTGGAAACAATCGGTTTATCATCGATGAAGCATCGACAATGTACCGTCCAATTTTCAGCTTAATTGAAGATGGAGGCGCGGCAGATTCGCTCGCGTCGCTCGGAGAGACCACGAATGGTGCTAGATATTGTGTTGCCTTATTGTGTGAGCGTCGCTTGCTGAGCTAAATTATTATAGTTAGTTAACCTGAGCGAGTCCGCAGATCTCCGGGATCATCCTATAAACGAGGTGAGGTGATGTGCCCGCTTTCGTTTGATACGTAAAGATTGTAGGCGCAATGAGCCCTCGCCGAATTGTAGGTGCTTCCGATAAACTTTGTTCGGACAGTTGTGTGAATGAACGTTTAGCGAACGCTCCGACCGCTTTTGCGTCGGAATACGTCGCCGCTGCAAACCTAGGATGTTAATTTCAAAATTTTACCAAAAATTAAAAATTATAAACATGAACTCGCCAATGATATATTTTTTATCTATTGCCGATTGAAGAGCATGCAATGTTTATATTTTTACAAGACTATAGTAATTACTGTATATCGCTAGTCTGTTGTTAGTCTCCTGTTATACGCGACGGGCATCAAACCGATATGTTTTCAGCGATGCCCCGTTTTTGTTAAGTTTAACGTTTCGAGACGGGTGTTGTTATGTTTTGTTGTGATAATTGTACGTGAACAACGAACAGTACCCAGGACACTTTTGACCGGCATTATTTAAAAGAATCCAACGCCTGTGGTGGCACTTTTATCAGCGGTTTATCTATAAGTTTTATATCGATTTTACATAGGCACTCGGACCGGACGCGCTGAATATTACAAGTACAATAAATAATTTTTAAAAAGAGTTATTTATAAGAAAACTTATTAAGAGTTATTAATTATTATCACAAACACGAAAGTGTCTCGAAAACTCTTCAATTCTTGAGTAAAAAAAAAACAATATAAAAAACTTAAGCCGACACCCAAAAAATATAAAATGTTAAAAATAAAAAAAAATAAAAAAATTAAAATTACAAAAAAAAACAAAAAAAACAAAAAACACTGAAAAAATTCTTTTTACTTTGACTCCGACCACGGTCAACAATCGCATGTTATATTGTAACTGACGGCGACCACCTGCCTCGCGCGCTTTCCTTCGCAACGTCACAGCGGCTCCGAAGCTTCCCGAATGGTACAAATATTACCGGGCCATTTCCAATGAAGTTGAAATATAAACGGGTCCGATGTGGTTTTAGTTGTGGACGGAAACATTGTATGCGCGTTTTATCCGTTCTCTAATGAGAAGCTCGAGTTCGGTTGTCCATCAGACAACCGCAATTGAGCTGAGTCTTAAGCAACCAGCGTGGCACCAGTAGCTTCCGACTTGAAAACCAATTTTTTATAGAATAACATAAGTAGTATTCTCCAATTTCCTTTGTTAAAAACACTGCTGGATTGCTTTTCCTTCGTTTTCGGTGCATTTAAAAAAGGCGGTTAAACCTATCACAAATAAATTTGCAATTTGTGGCGTCGATCGCTGTACGGGGTAGTTTTTCATTATTTTCGCTTTGACGAGACACGTTTTGCATTTGTGGGAATTTACTGCGCAACACGTGTATGACTGATTTATTAAATATTAAAACGTGGTAAGCACCACAATCATTGTTAAATCACAATTTCATAAGTCAGTTTGCTTCGTTCAACGCTCAGAAAGATTATACAGTTACGAAATGTTGTGTCTCGTATAAACTGGGAACTTGAAGGAACGAAACCCCGGTGGCTTCGTTTTGTACTGTCAAGCTTCGTTTTGTACTGTCAACCCTCCGAATACAATGTCACTGCCGAAATTAGGACTGTTGTTAGTATGTATGAAAATAAGTTCTACTTAACCTGTATCAAAACATGTTTGGCATTTCCACTGAACTCTGTTAATCGAACATTTCAAATTCTATTGTAATTTTAACAATGTTGTTGATCATAGAAATAAAATGCAAAACTAGCTATGTCCACTGTTTACTTCAATACCTGTGAAAATTATGCAAGCACTGACTCACGTTATGTATTTAACTGTAAAAAAAACCCTGTAAAATATTACCTTTTAATTGTTATTATTATCCTCGAAGCGGCTTACGAAAAAGTGTTTGTAAAAATATTTTTGTCGCGTTTTTGACCGATTTTGTCTTGTGTTGCATTTTATTTTATTGAGCACAAGTAATTTATATCATAATTGTTGTACAAAAAATTATTGTAAAGAAAAGTATAATTAAAATATATACAACTGCCGCAAAAGGGATTTTTTATTTAAAACCCAATTTTATTTTTTCAGCCGTCATTAAGTATTTAAGTGTCTCACTGAAAGATCGGCCAGGATGGTGGCAAGTGGTATTCGCTTGCAATGTAAGCGAATGTTCAAAAACGAACGACCAATAAGTGCAGGCTGCCTCTGTGGGACAATTAAGACTCTTCTGTAAGATTTTTTTTTCCCAATCTTTAAACTTTAGGAAGTTGTTTTAGTAGGAGAGCCCAAGCGGCAATGTTGGGATTTACTCGAGCGCAACAGAATAACTGATGAGCTCGATGGTGCAAGTGGTTGGCGCTTTCGGCTGCGATTGCTGAAGTTAAGCAACTTTCGCAGTGGTCGGTCATTGGATGGTTGACCAAAGATTTACTATCTCGACCTCCGTGCTTCGGAAGGTATGTTAAGCCGTTGATCCCGGCTGCATCTGTAGTCGTTAGCACCTACCTATCTGTGAGGCGGTTCATGGCCTAATCTCCCTATTCCATCCACAAGGAAGGCTTGTGCCCCAGCAGTGGGGAAGTTAATTGGCTGGTGATGATGATGCACAGAATAACAAAAGTGGGGCAACCTTGAACCTTTTGAAATAATCGCACCATACTAGAGCCCTTTATGTAGGGCCGAACGTCTAGGGCAGCAAAAAAATCAGCATACGGCTATGACTTTTGGCCGCGTCCAAATTGTCGAGTCGTGAATAGAAGCTACTGGAAGGGTTCGGGTACAGTTTCTAATGACTGAAAGATATTAAGCTGCCGATTTGCAGGGAGGCCGTGCGAAAGGGTATTTAATCGTTATAAATCATCATTTAAGGGGAAAAAACATTCGAGCGCATTAGACATTGAGATGGGATGTTACGTGAACCGTGAACCTTCCACTATTCAAAAGACGCGATTTGGACGTGACCAAAAGATATTTTGGATTATTTTTTATTTAATTTTGTCGAGCTATCTTCGAAAGAAGACTGAAAGACTTTTTTGTCTTTCGGAGGTAGCTCAACAAAATTAAATAAAAAATAATTCTGACGAAACAGCCTGAAAAGGCTGTGAAACGTCAATAAATAAATAAAGTTTCGTGCATTAACCCGTTAAAACTAGTTTTATTTAATGAGTGATGTGAGTGAAAACCTAAGAAACAAAAGACTATGGCCGTTGATTTTTTTTCCTTACCTAGACACTCGACTCCATATAGTATGGTGGGAGTAGGTCTTAGATTAAAACAAAAAGGGTAGATACGGTACGCTCATACTTGCATCAAACAAAAACTGATCCCACGGCAGCGCGAACGAGACGGCGAGATCCGCGTCACTGCATTACCGACCAATCACGCGACCAGTACTCGACGTTACTACCGAATAAGATTCAAAACAAACAATTTTTATGAAAAAATATATTTTATAGTACTTACGAATGAAAAGTGATGCCGTGGGTTTTATTTTAAGTTCTTGAGCAATTTGAGCACTTTTTAAAAACACACTTAGGCATTGTTTTATCATATACCTAAACACAAAATATTAGCAATATTTCTTTTTGGTGTTTACATGTACGTCGTTTGCATGTCAAGTTGTGACTAAAGCGATTAGGGTCGTGGACCACAATTTGTGCGGATCACTTTTGTGAGGCTAGTGCCATATCTACCCTTTTTGTTTTAATCTAAGGAGTAGGTACTTCGCAAGGTTGCCCCCTTGTTATTCTGCCGCGCTGGAGTCAATTCCCAAATCCCTGCTTGGACTATACCCTACTATTGTAATTAAACTCCCTTCACACCGGCGTAAGTGACCCCATTCTTGTTTTCACTGCACCGCCATGGTCAGACTGATGTGATTGATGATAGGTCACTAATCGCATTTAGTGTTGAAAACATTTTTTTTTGTAGAAAAACTTTGTAATAATGGAGTATTTACTTGTATTTGAATAAAAATATTATTTTTTCAACCATAATCGTCACCTCTAGCCTCACTCACGATTTTGGCCAATTGGAATATACTTGACTTCCTATTTTTTATAATTAATGCCTTTGAATAAGTTCAGCCTTTAGTAATAAGTTTAGCCATAGAGGCAATGAGGAGCTCGATGGCGCAATTGGTTAGCGTGTTCGGATGCGATCGTTGAAGTTTAAACAACTTTCGCAGTGGTCGGTCATTGGATGGGTGACCAAAAATTTACTATCTCGAACTCCTCCGTGCTTCGGAAGGCACGTTACGCCGTTGGTCCCCGGCTGCATCTGCAGTCGTTAGCACCCACCAATCCGCACTGGGTGGGGTATGGGCCAATCTCCCTATTCCATCTGTAGGGAAGGCCTGTGCCCCAGCGTGGGGACATTAATAGGCTGATGATGATGATCAAGGTCGTTACATATTAAAAAGAAAAACCTAGTATGTTACGAAATTTGAAAATTGGCAGCATTATTCCTACAATCTGTTGTTTCCTGTTTTTTCGAACTAAATTCAAAAGTGCCAATAATAGGAAGAGTGCCAATGATTGGAGTTTTCCCTATAATTAAGGCCTATATTAACGTACAACGTTACACTTGAGGAGCATATGTGCGAAAGGATAGCCCCTTTGCCTTTACCACGTTCCATGCTAAGGAAATGTTGATTAAATTAAAAAAACATGCTGATTTTATGATGTATGTGCAGTGTATTTTTTTTATTCATGAGGAGGCCACGTTTATTTATTATTGTTATTATTAAAAAGCGTAAAGTAATTAAAAATGGATATAGCACTTTTTGGTCGGATATTCGTAAAATAGCACCTTTTGATGCGAAATGATAAATAGCATCAACAAATAAACTTGTTAAAGTTAAAATATTATAGTTTTTTTTTTAATTGTAAGCTACATTTATGCCAAAATATATAATAACACCATCTTTTGCACCTCGCCGCACTGCCAAGGCGGCGGGGTATGCGTAGCGCATTTTCCCGACGTTAAATTTATTTTTTAAAGGTAGCGAGCCAGTAGGTTAACAGCTTCCATATGCCAATAAATACACTTCCAATTCTTTACAGGCAAAACTTATCAATCCTACTATATCCTTATTTCTTATCAAAGAAATAAGGATATGGGTCATTTGTCGTATTTGACCCTGAGAAGATAGGTCTTCATTTCATGAATTCAACGGGAATTAGAGTGACAAAAACAAGACTAATATCGTCAGTATCTTTATTGACAATATCCAAATTACACAGATACAAATACAAACAAATTTAGGTGTAGAAAAAAAAATACACTTCATTTGGAATATGTCTTCCGACATTGGTTTAATTTCTTTGATATCTATCTAACGGGTCCGACGTTACATTGAACCCTAACTAATTATAAATCACATCCACTTTTAATTCTTCAGTTTCGCGTATCTAAAGTCAAATAATATTTAGCATTACCATATTTGGTAAGGCTATTGTTTAAATTCACTAAGCTTATATCTACTACATGTGACTCGGTCACTATCATGAAAGTACTTTTATATGATACCACACTAAATAGCTAGAAGATTTTAGCATACTCCAAATAATTTAAAACTTGAAGGTTAAGTTTACAAAGGCTCGGCTTGTTTGAAGTAATTTTCAAAGTTGTAACACACAACACAAAGTTGATACACAAGTTCTTCATAAATATTAGCTAACGCCACTTAACACGAATCTTCCCAAACAAACCAGTTACCTCACACTCGACTATATCTATTGAAAGATTTTAATTTCACAGGTTAGAACGCTCATATGAAGCTATCCTAATGTTACATCTTTCAATATCACTTTTTAGTGTTTAGAGAAACGACAACAGTACACCATATTAATTTATTAAAAATAGAGCCTACTTAGTTCTCGTCAATGCTAATAAAATCAACAAATACTTAAAAAGTAAGTAAGTTAAAAAAAATGATAAATAAGAAAGTGTAACTGATTCCAAATGCCTAGCGCGATTATCTCTAACGCCTCATTTGAAATATAACTTGTAACACCTTTAAATATACAAACTTACAAAACTAAATAGAGAAAATATATACATAACTGTATATGTATATTGCTATGTAATGTGGCAGGGCCGAAAAAGGAGGAACTAAACGTCATAGGTCAAATACTGTTATTCTATTTTTTTATAATAAAAAGAAAACCCTTATTACTTCTAATTCCATACGTCCTATCTATCTATGCCAAATCCGAAGTCTCATTCCAAGATCTATCCCTGTCTCACATTCTCATAATCTAATTACTAATTTTACAGTTAAATATAGAACCTAAAAATCTACCTACCTCCGAACGCTACAATATCTCGGGTCTACTTTAATATAGGTATGGACAGATCACCTGCTCGGAGACACATTCAAATCGCGTCCGAAACAATCGTAATAAGTTTTACACAAAATATAAAGATATTAAATCTGAAAGGTAATATTAAAACTCTGGACCGGTGTAAATAAACTCGTGTTCGGCAACGATCGCCGCCGTATTTCGGTCGTGATGAAATTTGGAAAGTCCCATAGGAATATAACTAGGCTGGTTGTGCAGCGTCGCGACGCAGCTGTTAGCCGCGTGCGAAGCCATCTCTTCGTCGCGTCTTACTTCTTGGCCGAGTCTGTCGCGTCCATTTTCTCTTCCGTCTTGACAACTTTACCGTCACCTGCAACCATGTTCAAAGGTCAGTAAAAGTTCTCATAATTATGTCATTAATGTGTCATAAGTGTTGAATCAGACTGCCATATCGTCAATGAGATTTCCGCGAGTGACAAAAGCCACGAGGTTCCGAATAACTCGTTACCATCGCTATTCTGCCGCTAAACGGAAATCTCTACGACTCGTCATCAAAGTTTCATCATTTTGGAGTGTGAAATCACCCAAGATCACTAGTGCTAATTTTACCAGTATCTTATTTATATTAGATTCTAGTGAAGCGCGAAAATGTTCACATTTTTTATTAAATATTAATCAAATAAAATGTACTACCTATATACATTTTAGTCTTAAGGTTCATTAAACATTTAGTTATTGTCAAATTCTGGGCTAATTTAAATATTCAATACTTAAATTGTTCCGAAAAATAAATATAACTTAATAAAAGATAAAAAAACAAAACAAAAAAATAACTGGGCTCAGGATCGAGAACCAACGATCATTTGGTGTCGACATCAAGACCGTTAGAGAGAGTTATTAAATTACGGGGATCCCTTGTGTCAAATACTGTAAAATTTTTGTTTCATAAGTTTCAAATCACAACGGCGCTAAAGAAGTTTTTACTTCAAGTGTGTGCGCGTTTTAGGACGCACGACAGAAGAATTATAGTTTTTTGAGCAGAGCAGATCGGTAGGTGAAAAGGAGATTGGAGCGTGTAAAGGATTCGAGGGTGAAAAGGGATACGGGGATTGGTGGGTGATAATAGGCGAGGGAGTGGGGTGGGTCTGGTACCTAGGTTGGGTGTGGCGTCTATCTCCTTTGCGGCGAAGGGAAGCCGGACGGAATGGCGTCGTAACGCGTTACGTAAGGTGCGGTTCGCCCTCCCATAACAAGTAGTCAGTTCAAAAGGCTAGGTTACAGTTGTGATGGTCCGCGTCGGGGTCGGGGTCGGGGTCGGTGACGGAGCGCCTCCCCCCCCCTCCAGGCGCCCACTTACCGTTGTGATGGTCCGCGTCGGGGTCGGGGTCGGGGTCGGTGACGGAGCGCCTCCCCCCCCCTCCAGGCGCCCACTTACCGTTGTGATGGTCCGCGTCGGGGTCGGGGTCGGGGTCGGTGACGGAGCGCCTCCCCCTCCCTCCAGGCGCCCACTTACCGTTGTGATGGTCCGCGTCGGGGTCGGGGTCGGGGTCGGTGACGGAGCGCCTCCCCCCCCTCCAGGCGCCCACTTACCGTTGTGATGGTCCGCGTCGGGGTCGGGGTCGGGGTCGGTGACGGAGCGCCTCCCCCCCCTCCAGGCGCCCACTTACCGTTGTGATGGTCCGCGTCGGGGTCGGGGTCGGGGTCGGTGACGGAGCGCCTCCCCCCCCTCCAGGCGCCCACTTACCGTTGTGATGGTCCGCGTCGGGGTCGGGGTCGGGGTCGGTGACGGAGCGCCTCCCCCCCCTCCAGGCGCCCACTTACCGTTGTGATGGTCCGCGTCGGGGTCGGGGTCGGGGTCGGTGACGGAGCGCCTCCCCCCCCTCCAGGCGCCCACTTACCGTTGTGATGGTCCGCGTCGGGGTCGGGGTCGGGGTCGGTGACGGAGCGCCTCCGCTTGCGCGGGAACTTCCACCCTCCGGCCGCGTGCTTCACCTTCGGCAGCGGCTCCATGTCCAGCACCTGCAGCACCCAAGGTACCGAGTATTTTAGTTGATGAGAAACCGTACACATCTATCGACCCACTTAGTGTTATAAGTTTAATAGAATATAAAAATTTATTCCCCGATTTTTTACAATATTGTTTTACAAATAACAGCCGCAGGATGTTTTAAAGCTAAGAATCTGCGGGATTTAAAATCGGAAAACCCTGTGACTTAAGTACCCACTCTCTTCCAGTGACACAATACAATAAATTTCCACACTGTTAATAATATATGATTTAAAATGAAAATGAAAATTTAAGTAACATTAAAACTTTTTTAACAAGAGGACCACTTTAAACAGTCTGTAGCGAAAATATAATAAGTAGGGTTGAACAACAATAATATATGTATGTTTTTTTAAAACACACAAGAAAGATGGTAAGTAAATCAGCTTCGATACTGCGTTAAAACTTTTAGATCAATGTAACATTTATTTTTAACAATTTAACAAGGGCCCGCCAAAACCATATAGTCTGTTCCAAACAAATTACTTCACGGCAATATTGTCGCGCAAGACCTTCTTACGGAAATTAAGTTAAAGGTTCCCAGAAAAACCAGTCAATGTTGTACATACCTGCAATGGCAATTCACATGGTTGAGTACTACCTGCATCTTTAATCTTTATTGAAATTTGTGAAATTGTCGATGGTATGTCAATAAATAAATAAATAAACAAACAAATTTAAACTAAAGGTAAACAAACACTTTACCTCTCAATTTGCGGCAATCAAGCAATGAATAAATAAATAAATGGATTTCTCAACACATTCATTTGCATTCCTAGGAGTTTTTGTTCACATTTATATAGATGTATAGAATATAGTATACAACAATACTTGCATCAAACTCTTGGAATACACAAAAAATGCAAAGTTAATTGTGATTTATACTTGTAAAGATACTCATTGTCTACACAGCGTAAACGAAAGAATGTCACAACAAGTTTTATGTAAAACTAGTATATTACTTGTTTCTTGGTGTAAAGGAGGGAATAATATTTAAGATTTGATAAACTCTATCAACCACTATAAACTGAAAAAGACAATTTCGTTTTTAGTAATAATATTCTTTTGTTTTAATCTATCATAATCAAACGGTTTTCAGTTTTTTCTTTTTTAATAAAATTAAATACACAAAGCAGTGCACTTATAAAATAATCAATGTGCCTCACCTTATGAATCTGTCTGAATGCAATTTGTCTCAAAAATTGTTGTGCTGATGCAGTCAAGTCCTCGCGCTTCTGTGGTGGTAGATTACCAAGAGCATCCTGAAAATGGAAAATAAATATATAAACAAGGAGAAAACTGGCATCGAGTCATACAGGAGAGTCCAAGTTAGTCGAAAACAGATAAAAGACGGGAGATCCATAGACTGCACCGACAGGAGCATTGCTCTGCAATTTAGCGAGTGAGAGATACTTTAATTAAATATTTATCTGTAGCCTATACAGTATGTATATGCTTGCGTGATCATTAATATCCCCCTCTCCTTGCTTGTGGAGTTTGTGATATGCTAATTGCAATACAACACGTAATAAGAAGCGATTACGGTCTATAAATGGTGGAACTTTCTAATATGTTTACCTAAAAAGTGAATTTATATTGTAGCTGTGGCTGTGATCTATATTCCATCCCTTTTCAACACTAGCACAAATTACGTAACCGCCGTGTTTGAGCAGTGTCGCCGAAGAACAAATCATCTGTGTTTAAAGGAATTCTCACGCAGCTTCAAGGAGAATTTATGCGAGACTAGAGACATGTGGGTTTAAGCTAACGGGCTAATTTCTATTTTGTGTTAAGAGCAAGCGCATATTAAGCCACTAGCGGCGGCCACCAAACGCATCCACAAGCAAGCAAGCAAGTGGCCGTTACTAAGCTACTAGCAGCGTTTAGTGACAGCGATTAGTAGCTCAATATGCGCTTGTTCCAAGAGTGTGTAATTTTTTATCTTTCACCTGCATCAATAATAAATAAATATTACCAACACACACAAATTAGCCTAGCCCCAAAGTAAGCACTGTAAGGCTTGTGTTATGGGATGCTAGAGTAACGGATAGAATACATATACTGTACATAAAAAGTATATTTATATAGAAATACATATTACACATCCATGACTGGAGTACAAATGCTCGTATTCATCACACAAACATCCGCTCCCACCGGGATTCGAACTCGGGATCTCTCGAGTCGGCGACACCATGAAACCCGGCGTACAAACCACTCGGCCACGGAGGTCGTCAAATCGTTTATTAAAGCAGCATCTCCTGGCATTTTATCTATTTTAGCCATCCCGCTAAAGGCCGCACTCACCACGAGCTCCTTCTCGCAGGGGTCCCGCAGGCCGGGCCCGTGCTCCAGCAGCAGCCCCCCGCTGACCGCCTCCATGACGCGCCGCAGCGCCTCGCCGGCAGACAGCGCGGCGCCCGCGGACTGAAGAACGCCCGCCACCAGCAACTCCATCGCCTATAGATCATGACATACATCACTGCAATGCTTAATACCGTGTCGTTTTAATTTTTGTTTTTGTTCCAGAAGATAGACAATTAAATCCTATATTTTCATCTAAAGTCAATTAAATCCTATATTTTCATCTAAATATTTAAAAGAAAAATCTGACTGACAGACATATCAACGCTCAGTTAAAGATTTCATGGCAGATAGGTTTCTTATGACGTGTAGGAGTGCACTACAATTCACCCCAGAAAGGTTTAAAATTCGAGATGAAAGTTTGTATATTATTTCGTCAATTAATACACTTGAAACTTGGTAGGAATACTCATCTGAACAATTAATAGTTTGTAATTTTACTAACCCCCTAAGAAGGGGGTATTCGAAGGGTGCCGAAGTTTTATTATAGAATCAATGTTAACGCGCACTTCGTTAAACTCGAAACTCAGTATTAATATGCTTGAGATACTAATACATATTGTAATTAAGAAAGTTTGTTTTTTTGTTACTCATCATGGAAAACTAAGTATTTAGGTACTAAACGGATTTGGATTAAATTTGGTACGCATATAGTTAATGACCTGGAATGAGACGTAGGATACTTTTTATCCTAGAAAAATGGTAAGTTTTCCGAGGATATTATCAAAAAACATAATAACAACAACAATAAATAAAAGCAGACAAAGTTACGGACTGCCGCTAGTTATAAATAAAACGGCTGAATTAATCTTTAACAAACATGTAGAAGACTAATTTAATAGGCTAGTTGACTCGTGTCGAATTGTATTAAATAAATGTTTATTTCATAAAGTATTTGGTCTAAGGAACCTAAATATATCGATTTCACTTCATAATAGCAGAAGATTGCTGTAGAAATTTAATTTTAAAAAATATTTTTAGTCTATATTTTTTAAACACTAAAAACGCTGTTCGCCACATCCGCCATGATTGTGACGTCTCTTGTTGCAGTAAAGAACTAAATGTCATTCGCGTGTTATAGTGGGATTCTTTCGTCTGACTAAATTTATCTTAAAACACTTTTAACTTTAGAAAAGTTTCCGTTTACTGTTATTTTTTTTGACAAAACTAATTATGGATGCCAGCTTTGTGGAAGCAGAAAGCACAAATCTGCCTAGAATTGACGCATTGATGGTTGGTGAATTTTTTACCCTAAACCCCGATTTCTGCTCTGCGGAGCAGAGAAACGACAAGGCATCTATGTTAGTACAGTGCATTTAGTATTAGAATGTAGTAATAAACATAAAACTGAAACAACATATGAATAAGTGTAATAAAGTTGCGTAGGTTAATTTCTTTCGGCACTTTAATCCAAAACTTTCCTGGAGTCTTCAAGGATGTGTTTTTATTTTCTCATACAATACAATAATGATAATTTCTTTATTTTTCGTGGTATTTGTTAGAAATCATGTTTTTTTTTATTATAAACTAAGGTAAGTTATTTTGTACGTGCTTACGAGTTTTTGTTTACTACAGGTTGACGTCATAGCATAGATAATCTATATACTAAAATGGCCGACAGCTTTTTTGTATGTCCATGAAAAGTCTATTTTAAAATTAAAGATTTGTAGCTTTCTAGGTCTCAAAAAAATACAATACATTTTTTTTCGGTTTAATAGAACATTTATTAACCATTTAAAACCTTTTTCCAAAAAGGGTCAACTAGCCTATTGTTTTAATTGTGGTAGTGGTAACAAATAAATGAAATTTTAGCAAACTGATACCAATGAAACATTTTTTTTTTCTTTTTGTTGTTTTCTTATGCATTTTAATTTATTCTCAAATAAAATACTTTAATACAATGTGAATGAAGACCTATATATATTTTTACTTAAAAAATACAGAAAGAATAACAATGAGGCAATATTGCACACGGGACACCATCTAAAATTTTACTTTTTAAGTTGTTTATTAATTTATTTTTATGTAGTATGTATCAGTCGCTTCAGCTACCTGTACGCTTAATTTTTTAAACTAAAGTACAGCCACCGAGAAGTGATATGAAAATTCATTTAATCTCATATAAATGACATGAGGTCTCGTTCTGTCATGTCACGTCATCGCCGAGGTGCAGAGTTCGCCAACATTCGGGTGCCCATTTTATAGTAAAATATAATGACATATTTTCATTTCGTTTTGTGTTTTTCCGATACTACTCATGGTAATAACAAATATTTTTTGTTTTTGTGCTGTTGTGATTTTCTGTTTTGATTATATGAATGATAGTCTTCTTCATTTTATTTCAAAAGATGTCTAGTCAAATAACAAACGTCCTAAATTTATTTACATGAATTTTTATTCATGTAAATAATCCTTGCATTGGTCAATGACCTTTCATCGACCGTATCGCTTCTAGTTAGCTGTACTTAACGCAACGGATAGTGCAGTTTTCAGGAATAGATAAGTGATTCGAGATTGTGTGTAATCAGGATTGTTCTTAGCAAAAACTACTAATTTACAGATTTCTATTTCTTTAGAATTTAACTCTATTAAGGCTGCTCTTACTAAATTTTAGAAGATCTTTAAAAAAGAAAGACATATTTAAGAGAGCTCTGGATTATTTATTGAACGAAAGCTTGAATAAACATTCTAAAAGGGTAAATTATTGATTTAAAATTGCTACGCCAATAACAAATGTGGCATGCAAAAAGAATATGAAGCTTTAAAGCCTAAATGACAACAGACTAGTTTACAAGCGACAAGCCAGCGAGTTCGCTAGCAACTTGTTAACTAGGCCCGCGTCATGAAGGCTTAAGCCACAAATATGTGATCATAGAAATGAAGGGATCCTGACAAACAAAATTACAGTAGAGCCTCGATAATCCGTACTCAGGCTAATCCGAACGTCGCTATAATCCGAACTGCATACCCCACCCCACTTCCTCGCCTCCGCCTCGCTGCTATGTTGTTTATTAATTAGTCTGCAGTTACGACTGCCACGTTGCGCGTCCATTCCACGTTTTTCTGCTCTGTACTCGTGCGCGGCGTGTTTTTTGAGGTTATAAAGATGGTTCCAACACCAAAACGCAAACATAAAACTTTGACTATAGCCGAAAAGTGCACCATACTAGACAGTTTAAAGGACGGAGTGTCGGCAACTTCTCTTGCTTGTAAGTATGGCGTTGGAAAATCAACAATTACAGACCTCAAGAAAAATGAGCAAAAATTGAGATCTTTTATAGCTAAAACTGAGAAAGGACCAGGGTTCAGAAAAACTCTAAAATTACCAGAGAATCCAGTGCTAGAAGAAGCACTGTTCACATGGTTTTTAGAACAAAGACGACGCCACATTCCATTGTCTGGTGAGGTCGTAATGGAAAAAGCGAGATTCTTCCATAAAAAACTAACAGGTTCGGATTTTTCTGCAAGTAGAGGATGGCTTGATAATTTTAAAAAACGTCATGGCATACGCGTCAGGTGAGAAAGTCTCTAGCAATACGGAAGCTGTTCAACCATTCCAAGAAAAATTCCTAAACGAGATAAAAGAAAAGAACCTTTGCCCTGAACAAATTTACAATGCCGACGAATCAGGATTATTTTGGAAGGTTCTGCCGGACAAAACTTTAGCCTCTTCTGCTGAAACTAGCGCTCCTGGGTCGAAAGTGTCTAAAGAGCGAATAACTTTTATGCCTTGCGCAAACTCTACAGGGAATCACAAATTACCATTGCTAGTTGTGGGGAAGGCAAAAAAGCCAAGATCTTTTGGATCTGTAAAATTACCAGTGCATTATGAAGGGCAGAGGCGTGCTTGGGTAACCAGAGATATTTTTCTCGAGTGGTTTAGAGGCCATTTTGTTCCTGAAGTCAAACGCCATTTAAAAAAAATGGGACTGCCACAAAAAGCATTGCTACTCTTAGACAATGCCCCTGGACATCCAAATGCTGAAGATTTGACAACAGAAGACGGCAACTTCTCTGTACTGTACATGCCTCCAAATTGTACGCCTTTGATCCAACCTATGGATCAAAACGTAATCCAAAATGTCAAGATAAATTACAAAAAGAAACTCCTGATTCAAATGTTCGTGCAGCAAGAAGCCGATGAGGCTTTAACCTTGCATGATGTTATAAAAAGCGTCACAATTAAAGACGCCATTTTTTCGCTAGCGCAATGTTGGGATCATGTATCATCGTCTCTTATCGAAAAATCTCGGAAGCCTCTTTGGCCTGAAAAAATAAATTCAACAGAAGATAGATCAGAAGAAAATGATGACTTCGACGTAGAAGACGATCTCCCGCTCAGTCTTTTACGTAATCGTGGTTATACAGAAGAAACCATTTCCACTTTCTTGTCCATGAGTGAAGAGGAGAATTGCACAGATCCTATAACTGATGATGAGATCATAACCCAAATAACGCAAGAGAATGACGAATCTTTAGCTGAAGATTATTTTGCTTCAAATGTCAAGAAAATTACTCATTCACAAGCCATATCATCTTTGAACACTTGCTTGGAGTGGGCTGAAGAAAATGACCTGTCCTTATCGGAAAAGATGATGCTACGTAACTTGAGGGACAAAGCTTTTTTCTGGTCCATCAACAGGACTCGCCAAACTAAAATAGATCAGTTTATGACTAAATAGACAATTTACACCTTACGTATTTTATGGTACCTAATTATTATGTAAATGTACGGTAAGCAACGAGCCGGGCTTTTTATTTGCATTACGACTGTAGTCCTTACGCTGCTTGTAATAAGAGCGTTCCCAAGGTTCGTTCTCTTAAACTATGTATATAATTAAACACTATTTTAAGAATAAAAATGTTTTTTTTTCTCCTTACATACTATAATCCGAACGCTTCGTGAGTCCGAACAGGGGTTAGTTTTTGCTAGTTCGGATTATCAAGGCTCTACTGTACTATATTATGAAATTTTTGACTGATTTAGCACATAAAAAAAAAAAGAGATGTTGCTTCATTAAAAGCCAATTATATATATTTGTTTTTATTATTTTTTAAGCATTTAACTGCTAGATGTTTAAATCTAAAGAAAAGTTCACTAGAAAAAAATCCACGCGGACCAGGCAGCGGACGGGACTCGAACCCGCACCCTTCGCAATCCGGGCGAATGCACTGACCATTATGCTACCACGGCCCTGTTGGCGGCGTCGAATATATATCCTGAGTTGTCGTGAAAGTAATGAATAAAATGTAATACTCACATAAGGGTTGAGCGGCGTCCAGTTGGGTATCCGACGGCACAGGTCGCGCATGATGCGGATGATGATGACGCACGACTGCAGCGTGGCAGCCCTAGCCTACACATACGCCACACATCTGTCAGCCATAGTTCGGCCCACTCAACTCTCAAGCGCTACCAATTTATTGCTCCAATCTCGTCGTTTATGCAACATTAACACCCCGCCCCGTCCCCCTCTCACTGGCAAAACCCGGCACAGAGCAATAAATGGGATACACACTAGTCATACAGTCGTCACCGTTCAAAACTGCGTTTCCGTTTCGTTACAATTTAACATTAATCACTCCCATCACCTGCTAACTAAGTGCAGGAAACGCAGCTTGGTTCACATAGAAGCACTCGTAGCCACATGTTCATGGGAGTTGCAAACTTTAATTGAAACGGCACATTAAAAATTAAAATTTCTACCACAGATGGAAAATAATAATAAAAGCAAACATGTGACTAAAAAATACGTGCGCACTCCCTCTAGGAACGGCAAAATTGAGAGGTTCGACTCGAATCGGACTCTGTAGCAATAGTAGAGTTAAAGCTAATGTATAGTGTATATATCGTGGAGTGCGCACACGTTATAATGTGGGCGAATGTACCTGGAACCACTTGGCGTGCCGAAGGGCGGCCAACGCGTCCAAACACTTCTGCCGCGGGAGCACATCCTTGTCGTCTCGCTTTATGTCGCCACCCTCTAGCGACAACAACACAAAGGGTGTTTGACCATCAACACATCGACGAAAACGGGGCAAACATGGACAAACAGTCGTGGTCTGCGGCGTTACCGGTTCGGGGTGCGGTCTTACGCTCCCGGCCAATCGCATCCCGACGTAACGCTCGCACGATACACACAATACCAACGCTTTACGGGAGGGGCCTAGTTACTGAACGAACTGATTCATAAAATAATAAAACATCGCAGTGGCCTAACTAAATGAGATCGATAAAATATTATATAAAAAAATTACACATATAGGTATATAAAATTTTATAAATATGTTTGCTCCGTTTCAGTAGATAGAATATACCACTGCGGAGTCGCATCGCACGTGATATATGTCTGGATAGATGATCAAAAATCCTTTTCTTCTCGCTGCTTCTAATCCTAATATCACACCTAAAAATAAGCAACACAGTGCCGGAGGCCGGCGGTAAACTTTGAACAAATTATCTTTTTTTTTGTACACGGTTATCAAAAACAAAAATATATTTAGTAAAATACATATAAAAATATAAAATAATCAGTTCGGTGAGTTTAGATAGTTTGTTCTGAGAGTTCGTTTGGACGATATCAACGACCAGAGCGTCAGCCGGTTTCACAACTGTATCGTCAATGCAAACTTTTGATAGAAGTTTGAGTGAAAGACTAAATTATTGTTAAACATAAAAAATAGATGTCGCCGCAACATTATCCCACTAGCGCCGCTAGCGTAAACCGTAAGCACACTTCATTTAGGATAAAATGAGATCATTACAAAGTAAACAGTTCTCAGCTTCAAACACCAAATCCTCAGTTATATTTAAACACAATCTAATCACAAAATAATAATATGTTATTTTCACAAAGTAGGCCTGATATTTTTCCTCAACTAAAATAAAAATACTCATATCCAATTCTCCACCCACATTTGAAAATAATATAGTAACAAAAATTACGGTATATGCTAGGGGTGATCCCAATGGCTTATTCCAACTATGCCTCATTCTAAGACGACCCAGAACCTGTAGTATGTAGATTATAGTCTAAATTCTGCTTTTTAAAGTCTTATATCAGCTTCATTTTTAATATTTATCATCCTAGTTAATTATAATGATAGTGTATCCTAACGGGGTGAATCTTTTGAGTCTGCTTATTCAGATGATTTCCTGGGAAACAATAATTTTTATACAAGTAATAATTTTACTGAATTTATTATCTTCATTATAAAAAATATGCATCACTTTAAACTGTTTCTGAAAATTAACCAATATGTGTAAATTATAATGTAATTGTAAATTAAACATAGTGTGTTTATGCCCACAAATTACACTCAAGTTGTCAACAGAATGAGCAGAGTCTCAAGATTGGCCCATCTGTAGTTGAATTAGGCATTGTGAGTGTAGGCCCGGGATAAGTTGCGGGCTTCCCATTGACGGGGTGGTGAAATCGGCATGGTTTTTCAATGGTGCGGTCAGTGGTGTCTCACCGTTTGGTTCGCGCATGACGGCCGAAGTGAGGCTCACCAACACTCGTACCGTCCCGTCTGATACTAAGACGGCCCCTTCTGCCGGTTGTAGTTCTACTTTGTACTTGGGCTCTTCGCCGGGTCCCTGTAGGTGTATGGAGGAAATAAGTTGAGTTAGTTAGTCTAATACATTTGTATAAGTATTGGTTGTCCCATTGTTTTCTCAGAGTAGGGAGTTGTCAATTTCATTACTGTTTGATTAGTAGTAATCTTTTACAGGAAGCACAGCCACAGACGTCGTCAAATATCAAATACATATTTAATAATAAAAAAAAAGAAATTTCGAGTCAGTGTAGAAATTTCCATTGTGAAAGTAGTGTATCTGTGTAATGGACAGAGAACACAGAGACTGCGATGGCTGAATCAGTAATAAAGTATAACTGGGCAGATATTTTTTTTATAATTTATAAATAAATGTGAAACATTTGAAGGGCCCTTAGTTCGTTTATGTATTGGTTGTTTTTTTGTGTCTTGCTAGAATAGTTTCATGCCAAGAATAGTCTTCTAAAAGAGACCATTTGTCAAAAAAATTGTCTTGCCACGGAACCACTTACGATTTACATCGTTCCCTCCCTAGGATTAGTAAATTAATTAGCATCCTTACCTATAGAAAATATTAGTAGAAAAAAATCCACGCGGACCAAGCAGTAGACGGGACTCGAACATCGAGCAGTTACATGCTTAAAAATATATTTATAAATCCTTACCTATGTAAAAAAATTTCAAATGACCTAGCAGACCACATCGGGTGCTTTCAGGGGGTTGTTCTAGAGAAAGTTATGATTTTCCAAGTGTCGGTACCCCTTGTCGTAGATACCTTCATCTTGTGCAGGTGCGCGGGCAGCATCGACGCGACCCGCTTGAGCAGCGTGACGGTGGGCCGGTCGTGGCACAGCACCACGAGCCGCACCTGCCGGTCCCCCTTGAGCAGCAGCCCCTCGTCGTAGATACCTTCATCTTGTGCAGGTGCGCGGGCAGCATCGACGCGACCCGCTTGAGCAGCGTGACGGTGGGCCGGTCGTGGCACAGCACCACGAGCCGCACCTGCCGGTCCCCCTTGAGCAGCAGCCCCTCGTCGTAGATACCTTCATCTTGTGCAGGTGCGCGGGCAGCATCGACGCGACCCGCTTGAGCAGCGTGACGGTGGGCCGGTCGTGGCACAGCACCACGAGCCGCACCTGCCGGTCCCCCTTGAGCAGCAGCCCCTCGTCGTAGATACCTTCATCTTGTGCAGGTGCGCGGGCAGCATCGACGCGACCCGCTTGAGCAGCGTGACGGTGGGCCGGTCGTGGCACAGCACCACGAGCCGCACCTGCCGGTCCCCCTTGAGCAGCAGCCCCTCGTCGTAGATACCTTCATCTTGTGCAGGTGCGCGGGCAGCATCGACGCGACCCGCTTGAGCAGCGTGACGGTGGGCCGGTCGTGGCACAGCACCACGAGCCGCACCTGCCGGTCCCCCTTGAGCAGCAGCCCCTCGTCGTAGATACCTTCATCTTGTGCAGGTGCGCGGGCAGCATCGACGCGACCCGCTTGAGCAGCGTGACGGTGGGCCGGTCGTGGCACAGCACCACGAGCCGCACCTGCCGGTCCCCCTTGAGCAGCAGCCCCTTGGCCAGGAGCCCCACCCGCATGACCCCCTTGAGGGCCCGCACGGCCCCGCCGTTGGCCCCGGCCGCGCCGCTATCCCCGACGGGAGCGTTGGCGTTCTCCCCCTCGCCCATGAATGAGAACCTGTCGATGACGGTCCTATGTAATACCAGTTCGGAAACTCATGCTTTCTACTAAACTCTGTTATGAATTATCATTTCAAACAATTTGAGAGCAAAAATAACAGAGGTGGATAATTCTGAACATAACTAAGTAACTGATTTGTAAAGACTCATCAAAACAAATTACTGCAGCTAATGCAAAGGTAAGTTTTTATTAAAATTTGCACTCAAAATGTTTATAATACACTGTTGATTCTTGGATGATAATATAAAGAATTGTAACGTTATGCGTTACATAATCATATTATTACCCTAAAATACTCTTAAATTTAATATTTACAATGCCTAAAACTAAATAATAACACTATTAGATTTAATTCTACACTAAAAACTACTTATAAAAATAAAACACAATTTTATTATAACTAAATTATTTACAAATCATAATAATATTAATAAACAAATTGGCTATTTACAATAATAAAACTATTCACTGACACTAAAATGCAACATAAATTCATCAAGCGGATTTGTATACGTAAACTCGCGCGATGCAACATTTTAGTGCTCCAAGCAGGATCTTTTGTTCTTGCTAAGATAAAACTGCATGACCGGCCGCCCGCGAATTCACTTTTTTTCTCGATGTAATTTGAGCGAACGTACGTCACAGAGAATTTTATGGTCGCTAATACGGGAAAATTTAATCTTTAAAACTCGTAACCAATATAATATTTTTCGTGATCGTCACTCAGCGTTCCTTAAATAAATAATATCATAAATTATTGTGAAGTGAGTGTCGACCGCCCCGAAACTGGGGTTCAACGCTCGGGATACTAACTTGGCCGGTATCACCTCTCGGCCCTACTTTCACCATCACGAGAGTACTCTCTGCCTGGCTCAGCTGCCCGTTCCTGCAGCCTCCAGTCGCCAGCGGTATCCATAACGCGTGTATATGCAGACCCGTGTGAAGACTACTGGGTTTTTGTAAGAAATTAATTAAAGATTTTAAATATTTTATATTATAATTTTATTATATTTGTGTGGTTTGAAAACAATGAAAAAATGCAAGTGACAATGTCAAAAAAAAGTAATTCATAACTTAAATAACAAAAAGGTTTTATGTCGTAGACATAATTGCGCCCGCGCATGAATGCATTAATAAACAAAACAACTTATATATGAAATAACAGTGACTTTTGACAGAAAACATAAGTCCATGAGGGAATGAAAATAAAACGAATTGTATAACAATTAAATGTACAAAAATACATTACATTGAGGCTTAATTTGTATTTAAATCATGCTTCATCAATTGGCAACAATACAATTTTGGTAAAGGCTCGAATGTGTATTTTTTTGTCAGGCGTCATTACCTCAACTACTCTGACTTTAGCATCTTTGCCAGAAAATGTTTTTGTGATCCGACCTAAAGGCCAAAACTGAGGATGAATCATATCATCTTTCAATAGTACCATATTGCCAACTTTTAAATTTGGTTGAATCGTTTGCCATTTGGTCCGTTTATTCAAAGAGACTAGATAGTCCTTTGACCATGCCCGCCAAAAATGCTGTTTGAATTGTTCAATGGACCTCCAAAGAGTTAAATGATTATTAGGAATATGTATTAGCGATGGTTGCGGAAATGTAGTGAACGGGCAACCTATTATAAAATGAGCTGGTGTTAGCGTGCTAAAATCACTAGGATCATTAGACATAGGGCATATTGGACGCGAATTCAAAATAGATTCAATTTCAGTAGTTAACGTAACTAATTGTTCATAAGTATATATTTTTGAACCTAAAATTCGTTTGTAATGATATTTAAAGGACTTTACAGCTGCCTCCCACAATCCACCTTGGTGAGGACTATATGCTGGAATATAATGAAACTGAATGCCCTTATTTGAAGTGTAACCAGAAATAGTACTTTGAAAATCATCATTAGCGAATAAACGGTGCATCTCTTTTAATTTCTTGTCTGCGCCCTTAAAGGTTTGGGCGTTGTCGCAAAAAATATCTGAAGGAAGACCGCGTCGAGAGACAAATCGTTTAAGGGCAGATAGGAAGGAGTTAGAAGTCATGTCAGAGACCACTTCTAAATGCACTGCCTTCGAAACAAAGCAAATAAAGACCGCTACATAACCTTTGCTGATTATACTTCGTCTAACAGAAGAATTTTTGATATCAAAAGGTCCACAATAATCTATCCCTACCTTTTGAAAAATTCTTATTGCAGTAATTCTTTCTTTAGGAAGCGAACCCATAAGCTGTTTCACTGATTCTGCCTTATATCTTAAACAAGTAATACATTTATGTATAACTGATTTTATCTCCCTAACTGCATTTAATATATAGTATTTTTGTGATAGATTACTTAAGACAAGTTTTAAGCCGCCATGCAATAAAACTAAATGTTCATTCAAAATTATAAGTCGTGTAACATGACATTTCTTAGGAAGAATAATAGGAAATTTTATTGAAAATGGAAGATCTGAGTTCTGCAACCTTCCGCCAACTCTCATTATATTTTTGTCATCCAGGAAAGGGTGCAACATTTTTAAATAGCAGCTATTAACAGTTTTAAAATCAATCCCCTTTTTTATGCTTTCTATTTCCTTTGTGAAATAATGACGTTGAATGTATCGTATAATAACTTGTAGAGAATTTTGCAATTCTAATACTGTTAAAAATGATTTGTTTATAGTCTTTTTTTTACAATTATTGATAAATCTTAATATGTAAGCCATTATTCGTTGCATTTTATTAATATTAGAAAATTTTGTAAAGAATGGAAGCATGTCACTAGAAATATTATTTGAATTTTGATTTGATTGTACTATATTCAAAAACGGAAATTCTACATCTGATAATTGAAAATTATAAAAAATATCATTGTTTCTCAAATAATCGGGCCCATGTACCACAATTTATTATATTTAAGTTCATTAGGATTGCAACCACGAGATAGAATGTCTGCAGGATTATAAGATCCTGGAGTAAATTTCCAGGACATACTCGAGGTCAACTTATTAATTTCCTTGACCCGGTTGGCCATATATGGAGGTAATTTATCTTCTATAGTGTGAATCCATCCTAGAGCTATCTTCGAATCAAAAAATAAAATAATATTTTTTATGCTGCTAAAAATGGATATTACCTTTGACATAAGCTTTGATAAAAGTAATGCTCCGTTAAGTTCAAGTTTTGGAATAGTTAATTTAGAATTAATTCCTACAATACGCGATTTAGCACAAAGCAAATTAATAAAATAATCATGATCAGTCTTTACCTTTAAATATATACAACAACCATACGCCTCGGATGACGCGTCACAATAACCGATCAATTCCACTTCTTTTGTTGCCTCGTATATATGTAAATTACGAGCAATACATATATCTGTCATTAAGGATATTGAATCGTGAAAAGTCTGCCAAATGTTCTTAAGATTGGAAGGTAGTGGAGTGTCCCATTCGAGATTGTGCTGCCAAATTTTTTGCAACATTATTTTTGCATTCATTATTATGGGATCAGCAAACCCCATGGGATCGAACAATTTACTTACGGAACTCAATACAGTGCGTTTTGTAGGTACTTCCAATGTATTAATAACCTTTCCACTGATAGTAAAAAAATCATTTTTGACATCAAAGGACAAACCTAAAGTTTTTATAGTTATATCCTGATCAAGATCCCTTTGCTGAAAACCGTAATTTTCTTTGGGTATATCCTGTATAATAGACATGTCGTTAGAGCACCATTTATGTGGTTCAAAGCCTCCTTCATCTAACAACTTGAAAAGTTCCTGTTTTAACTGTATTGCGCCACTGTATGTCGAATTTCCACACAATATATCGTCAACGTAAGAACTTGTAAGTATTGCCTCACTTGCTAACTTATAATTATCTTTAAATCTAATTGCCAACTCTATCAAACATCGAGTCGCTAAAAACGCTGAACTAGTCAAACCGTATGTAATGGTTTGGAGTTGCAAACATTTTAACTTTTCATTTGGATTTTCTCGCCAAACAATATTTTGTAAAACTCGATCGTCCGCATGCACTAAAATCTGCCTATACATGTGTTTAATGTCACATATAAGAATGTATTTATGAGAACGAAAACGCAACAATATATCAAATAAAGAATTTTGAACGACAGGCCCATTACAAAGAACATTATTTAATGAAGGGCATTTACCTGACCTAGCACTTCCATCGAATACAACTCTTAACTTATTTGTCAGTCTTTGTAGGCGAAGCACTCCATGATGAGGGAGAAAATAAATAGGTCGTTTTTCAGGTAAACAATTATCCATATCAATTGTTTCAGCGTGTCCTAACGCGAGATATTCGTTTATGAAATTAATATACAATGCCTTATACAAAGGATCTTTATGAAATCTTTTCTCTAAATTATAAAATCGTTGTAAAGCAATGAGAAAAGATTTTGATAAATCGTAATTATTTAAATTACATTTTCGAGGCAATCGGACTTCGAACCTTTTATTTTGCAAAATAACCGACTCCTTAAAAACTGTTTCACTATAATCATGTTCAGGCAAAGACTCTGTAAAAATTTCAGGTACCTTTTCAGTCTCCCACAGTTTTCTAACATAGAAATCTTGATCGGTTATGTCATTTGAATGCATAGAAATAGAAAGGTTATTGGAGTGAAGTACGTTACCAGATACGATGTAACCAAAATTAGTGTTGATTAGAATTGGCTCGTTGGGATCACCCTCTATCTTCCCATCCTTCAGTATTCTGAAGAAGACATCAGCCGCCAAAAGGAGTGAAATTTCGCCTGGAACATTGTAATCATTATCAGCTAGCTTTACAAAGTTTGGAATATCGAATCTTGAGATATCAAAATTATTTTGTGGTAAATTTACTGTAATTCTGTCTATAATAGAACATTTAACATTAATATGAAAGTTTTCTGTCATCGACTGCAAATGCAAGTTAATACCTTTATTAACTTTTTTAATGTTATCACTCAACGTAGAAATACTCTTAGATA